AAATTAAAAATAAAGGTCTCATAACTGGCTATACAGTTACATTTCTGTGTCATTATTCCTTTGTGTAGACCCAGGTTCTTTTGGGGTATCTTCTTCTGTTGTTCAAAGGACTTTCTTAAACTGCAGATCTGTTTGACATGAGCTCTCAGCTGTGTACATATGAAAATATCCTTTTATCATCTTCATTTTTAAAAGATACCTTTTAAAGAGTTCTAGGTTGATAGGGTTTTTTTTTCCTCACCCTCTACCTTCAAAGCTGTCACTCCATTGTTTCTAGCTTGGGTTGCTTCTGACATGAAATCTTCTGTGATACTTATTCCTCTTCCTTTGCAAATATTATATTTTTCTTTCTCCTTCAGCTTCTCAGGTTTTCTACTTACTACTGATCTTGAGCAGTCCACTGGAGTACTCTAATCGGTATTTCTTAATCTTTGGATTAATCTCTTGACTCTGTACATTTATAGTTTCCATCAGATTTGGAATACTATGGTTATTATATCTTCAAGTGTCTTCTCTCACCCCTTCCTCTCCTTTGAGTCCTGAGATGACATGATGTCAGCTTAGAATTGTCCCCATATACTGATTGTCCCCATATACCAAAACCATTTGGTTTTCAGTGTTCTCTGTATCATTTTGAATGGTCCCCACCGTGCTGTCTCTAAGTTGATTAGTCTTTTTCCACAGTGTGTACTGTGCTATCAATACCAAAAGTGTGCTTTGCATCTTCTGTGTTGCAACTAGAGGCTTGATTTAGGTCTTTTAATATCGTTTATGGCTTTAACATGTTTAATATTTCCTGCAGCCACCTGAGTAGAATACAGGGATGGTAATGGCTCTAATATCCTGTCTGCTAACACTATCAGCTCTGTCCTTTCCTGTTAAATTTTACTGGATTGATTCTTCTCATTATGGATGGTGTTGCCCTGCTGCTTTGTGGGAATTATAAATTGTGCTTTCCTGCTTCTTTGCAACTTGGTGAGGTGGACTGAATGATTATGGCCCTACAATATTCATGTGTTGGAATCTAATCCTTATTAACATGGGATTTGGAGATAAGCCTGTGTTAGGCAGCTTTCTGGTGCTGCAACAAAATCCCTGAGAAGAATCAACTTAAAGGAAGAAAGATTCATTTTGGCATATGGTATCAGCGGTTCAGTCCATGGTCAGCAGGAATGAGGCAGAAACACCATGCAGAAGGCATGGCAGAGGAGAGCCACTCGCCTCATGGCAGGCAGAAAGGCAGAGGATGGGAGGGTGGGAGAGGGAGGTTTTGGAAAAGGGCGGAGGAGGAAGAGAAGTGAACCTGTAGTGGTGGTCTTCCTCTTTTTTCCACCCTGCCCCTACCTCATTAGACTGTGCCACCCACATTCAGGGCAGGCAAGGCTGCTCAGCCCCTCTGCCTCAGGTTGCAGTCATCCCTGGAAACACCCTTGCAGACTCACATGCCTGCCTGTGCACCTTACTAGTTTCCTAGGTGTTTTTTTAGTGTGACCAAGGTGATAATCATGATCTCCTTTGGGAATGAGATTAGCGCCCCAGAGAGGTCCCTCGCCTTTCCGCCCTGGGAGAACACTGCAAGAAACCAGCTGTTTGTGAAGCAGAAAGCCCTTACCAGGCACAGAATTAGCCATGACCTTGGTCTTGGCCTCCCTGGTTGGGAGGACCATGAGACATGGTGCCCGCTGCCTGGAAGGCTCCCAAGTCACTCTGTGAGACACTGTGACTTTTCCCCTGCTGATTGCAGAATATTTTTTTAATATTCTAGATATTTGTTCTAGGTTGCAATTAAGCTACTTAGAAAAGGGTTGTGCTTTTTTATCTTGCTTTTGCGCTTTCTCAGGGAGAGTTAGACCGGCATCTTAGAATTCTTCCCATTGCAAAGGAAAGATCTCTGCGTGGAGCCTGTATACGTCTGCTGTTTTTGCCTTCACTCATAGGAACAGAGCAAACAGGAACCAGCCGGGAGCGCACTCTTCCCAGCCCTGCGTGGGCTCCAGCCCCTGTCCCAGCAAACCCTTGCTCTGGCTTTCAGCATTCTGGTGCCATTGTCATGGCCGGAATTGTTGTTAAGCGGTATCTGGGGGCATTGTTTCCGGGACCCCAACAGATAGCAAAATCCAGGGCTGCTCGGCCCCTTGTATAAAATGCAGGAGTATTTACATAGGATCTGTGCATGTCTTTCCTGTGCTGCACATTATTTCTACATTGCTTATAGCCCCTGAAGCAGCACGAGTGCTGTGGAAGTAATCACCGTACTTCACTGTCGGTGGAAGGAGGAGCGGGACCGCGTGCACCTGTTCAGGCCAGGCTCCCTTCTTCCCGAGCGTCTCCCACCTGTGGTTGGCTGGACCTGGGGTTGTGGGGCCAATGGGCAAGGAGGCCAGCTGCACACAGCCAGAGACCGGGGACCCGAGGCTCCCAGAGTCTCCCTGGGCACAGCCGTCTCCTCGGCATGACTGCTGTGCAAGCTCTCGGGACCACGACTGTCCTGGTCTCCACCTGTCCCCTCAGCGGACGGCAGCCCCTGCCTGTGTCACCACCTGGGAACTCAAGGTGGTGTAGTGGGGTGCCCCAGGCCCTCCTCACTTGTCCCCATCCCTTTCCATGTATTTGGTCCCCCGGGCTCTGGTTATTCCAACTGGGAGGGTGAATCCGGACCCTCCGAATCCCTCTTGCCTGAGGCGGAAGTGGTATTCAGGATCTTCGTGCTGTTCTGCACTGGGGCGTCTTGTGTCTTTCCACAAAGCCCCTTTCCTTGTCAGCATTTTACTGGCAAAAGCACTTCCATTTATAAAGGAAAGGAAAAAGATCAAAGACCACAGTGCAAAGACTTCTGCAACCTGAGAAAGTTTTAGCCACATAAAGGGTTCTTACAAATCACTCAGAAAGACGCGCATCATCATACAAACATAAGTGGCCGATAAAGCTCCTCCGGCTGTGCCCCTCGCAAGCAAAGAATCGTAAATGTGCACAGTCAGGTGGGGGACGCACCCTGTGCCTCCAGTGCTGGTGAGGTGTGGGGAGCGGGCATTGCCACGCCGAGCTGTGGGCACGGTGCCACCTCAGTCTTCCCAATGGGGGCTGGGTTGGCAGGGGTCAGGAACTTGAAAGCAAAGCAAGATGTCAAGAATAGGAGCAAAGGGGCTGGGGATTTAGCTCAGCGGCACAGCACCTGCCTGGCAAGCGCGAGGTTGTGAGTTCGATTCCCGGTACCAGAAAAAAAAAGAATAGGAGCAAAGATTTGGGCCCAAGCGCTGTCTTCCACTGGGAGACCCCACTTCGGCAGCAAATGGGAGATGGGTAACACGCCAGATCCCGCCCTGGTAGGGCTTTGTGGGTTCATCCTCAGAACGCCTCACTTAAACAATATGAGTCTTATCCTGGGAAAGTGAACTTAGCTGACAAAACAGCAGCTTCTACTAGTTCCATCTTTGCTTCTAAAAGCTGAAGCGTGGAAAAAGGAAGATACGCATATTGATTACTTCTGAGTGATGAATTCATGAGTATGCTTTTATTCCTCTGTATTTCCGCTGTCTTATCATAAATATGTATGGCCTTTGCAGTAAGGAGCAGGACTGCTTTGCATCATTTAAGATGTGGGTTAGCCACCTGCCTGTTCGTGCCGTAGGCTAGAGGCCGACATCCTTCCCCACTGAAGAGCCAGATGTATGTTTGTGTGTGTGTATGTTTGTATGTGTGCGTGTGTGTGTTTGTGTATATATGTATGTGTGTGTGTACGCATACCACACACCCCATGGTGTTGTGTGTTTCCGCTGCAGCACCTGCTGTGCTCCTGTCCGTTGCTCGCTCTCACCAAGTCCTTAGAAAAACATGTGCAGTAGAATCCCCCATCGCCAGAAAGTGTGTCCTCTTTGCAGCTGAACCAAGTCTGTTTCCTCCACTTTTTTTTCCCAGTACTGGGGATTAAGCCCAGGGCCTTTGCACTGAACTATATCCCTAGGGTTTCGCTAAGCTGCCCAGGTTGTGTTTGAACTTGCAGTCCTCCTGCCTCAGCCTCCAAGAGTGCTGGTGTTGCAGGTGGGCACCTCTGCTTCTGCCATGTCCCCCACATTTTAAAACCATTGTTTTAAGGCCACGTGTCCATTGTTCTTTTGACTTTTCCTTTGGTCAACCAAAAAAGTTCACGTTTGACAGGATTTAGGGTTCCAGTGTTTCTGTTCAGAGAAAAATGAAATGAGTGGTGTCATCTCCTCCACCTAATGACGTCATTTCTGCGGGTCACGTGAGGAAGGTGAATGCGAAGCCCGATTCTCTCTTCCAAGGAGAGCTGGAGCTGCCGCCCTCCAGAAAGGGCTGGTGCGCCTGAAATCCGGATCTTCCCCAAACCTGCTTTAAGAAGCCCTCCCCCCTTGCTTTTCCTCCGTATCCCTTAGCAGAGGTTGCCAGGTGACGTCAGCGGGGTTTCCCGTTGCTTTTCCTCCGTATCCCTTAGCAGAGGTTGCCAGGTGACGTCAGCGGGGTTTCCCGTTGCTTTTCCTCCGTATCCCTTAGCAGAGGTTGCCAGGTGACGTGAGCGGAGTTTCCCTCCTCAAGCTGGACGTTGCACCTGTGACCGCAGGTCTGGGGCCCTACAGATCGGGTGGGTGTGACATAGGACAAAAGTAGCCAAAGGGGGGTCTCCGGGGCAGGTCTGATCCGGTGCCCTGGGTGTTGACCCAGCACTTGGGAGGCTGAGGCAGGAGAATTACAACTTCAAACCCAGCCCAGGCAACTGAACGGCATCGTGGAGAGTCCTGTCTCAGAATGGAAGTAAAAGGGCTGGGGTGCAACTCAGAGCGAAGACCCCGAGTTCTGTCCCCACGCCACACTAAGTAAAGTTCGGGGGGTTGGCAGGCTGCCGGAGAACCCGCCGTCCTTTCCCAGGACTGGCACCGCCCTAGGCTCTCAGGAAGCGCCCTGCAACACACGGTGCCCAGCTCTCCCCGGGCTGTCGGGGCCCCGCCCGCCTCACAGCCCCGGCCCCCGCTTTGTCTCCGCAGAGCTCGCAGGCGTCCCCGTGTCCGAGGTGTCCGGGCCCTTCTCCACCGACGGCATCGCCAGCAACTGCGTCCCCTCGCCCGCCCTGAACGAGCCGGTGCTGTGGATCGTGTCCTACGCGCTCATGAGCTCGTGCGGGCTCATCCTGCTGGTCCTCCTCGTCCTGCTGCTGCTCCCCTTCCGGTGCCGCCGCGCGCCCCGCGACCCCGAGGTGGTCAACGACGAGTCCTCGCTGGTCAGGCATCGCTGGAAATGACGCGAGCGCGGGGGTCGGACCCCGGCGACCCGGACCCCGGCGCCCCCGACTGCGGGGCGGCAGGCGGGGCAGGTTCTCCCTCCGTGCGCGCGGTTCTGCGCCCAGGCGCCTCCGCGTGCCCGGTAGCTCCGTTAGTCTTGATTTTAAGCTTCCACTTTTTCTTTCCTACTTCCGAGGAAAAAAATGAGCATAATAATAATAAAAGAAAAACGCCTTATTCTAAACCAAAACAGAGTGAATTGGGCTTCGGGCTCATGGCACGGGTGATGCCAGGCTTTCTGGACGTGCCACCCGAAACAGGCGGTAGCACTCTGCGGCTGGTCACGCTTGGAGCCCCGCGTGGTGTGGTTTCTAACCCGCTTCGCTGACAGGAAGCTTTTGTATTAACCACGTTTCAGGGCGACCTGTGCCAGGCCTGGCCCTGGCATAGAAGGCTTGGCACAGTGGCAGAGAAATGAGTCTGGAGGCGCCGTGGTGGAGCCGCCTTGCTCTCCCCCAGCCTCTCGGGGGTCCCTGGCCTCGGCTGGGGCGGCCCCTGGAGGAGACACCAGCCCACCTGCGCCAGCCTGTCCCGCAGACAGAAGGCTGTGCCCGCCGAGCGGTGTGGGGTGACAGGCGATTGCCCAGCAGGGATGCTCCTGGGACGTGGTCCTTATAAAAGTGAAAGCACCACCTCTCTGTGGCGTTGCCAGGGGCCCTGGGCACGGTGGGGTGCGGGCAGCCTGATGCCGCAAGATCCCTCCCCCGGCGCAACCTCGCTGGTGCGACCACACTGGTTTTCTCTTGCTCTAGATTAAGTAGCGCTTCGATGAGGATCACAAAGTCTGTTACTAGTGCCGTTCCTCTCCAAATCTTCCCTGGAGGTGGCTTAGTTATTACCCTCGGCACAGAGAAACGGCCGGTTGCCCCGGCTTGTCACTGGTTGTCAGGAAGGAAGCTCCAAGGTGTGGCATTGTTCCCGCGTTTCCTCTGCACCCACCCAGGCTCACGGGTGCCATCTGAATCATTCAGTGAACGCCGTGAGCGCTGACTTCTTCCCTTCGAGGCGCTCAGCTTTGGAGACAGGGTTCAGTAAGGTCCCTGTGTGGGGGACACAGCACCTGCTAGCATTTATTTGAGGGCTTTGCCAGAGGAAGGTGGTGCCTTGAACTCTAACCAGCCTCATGCAGTCCCCCAAGGCGGTGCCCCCAGTTTGCTGCGAGAAATCTGAGGCCCTGGATAGCAGGGGGGAGTGAGGCTGTGCCGCCCGGCGGTGCTGGCGCGTCAGGCTCACGGCGCTGCCCTCGGAATCCCGACGCCAGCGAGACCCGTTCCAGGCAGGGGAGTTGGATGATGTCTGACACGCCGCTCTGTATTCCATATCACAGTTCTCTACCTTTACATCTCCGATGCCCCTGGATGTGACAGTGGAGTGGGACACTTACATTGCAGAAATGTCCCTTAGCAACAAGAGTGAATTGGTTGAACTGGGGACATTTTCCCGGTGTGCTTTGCCGCTGAAGATTAGACTTGGAGGCAGGCGTGCGATGCAGACGCCCAGCCTGCTGGAGCTGTGCCGGCACGTCCTTTGCTTAGCAGACTCCAGGGCAGAACCCAGGGCAGTTGACTCTGAGTGGAAAAGGGAGTGGCGACCCTCGGAGGGAGTGGTTTCCCCTCGCAGCTCACCCTGGAAAATGCTAGAAGACAGATGTCTCTGGAAGCGTCAGCTCTGTGGTGGGAAACACGTTTTGAGGTGGGCAGTCTTCCCTTAAATCAGACGACGCTTTTCCTTCCTGATAACTTACGTAGAAGTCAGCAATGAAACCCGGCCTTCAGTAGCTGAAACCAGTGATAAAAACATCAAGAAATGAGCCCGGGATTGATGATTTTCTCCCATGGGGTTTAAAGAAGCACGCGTGACAGACACCAGAGCTACTGGTGTAGAGGAAGCAGATGCGCCGCGTGTGGCACGGAGACCCGTCCTTCTGGGCCGTCCCGTGCCCGAACGTTCGGAAGGACTTTGCCTGACCCGTCCTGAAACACAGGTTTTGGCTGGAGATGAAGTTGAAGTCCGTAACTGATCAGAATCCACGAGGAATTCACAGCAGGATGGCATTAAGCACCCCTCAGAGCTCAGGGTGATAGATTTTGAAAGGCCGTTGTGATTTAGGCTTCCATTCTCTTGTGTGAGAGATGAAGAGGGATTATCTTATTCCTTAATTAAAAATGGGGATTTGTGAAATTCCTCTCACCGCTTCCCCACTCGGTGGAACAGGCTCACATGGCTCCGTCCCAAGTTCTGGCGCCTTGCCACGCCGTGTCCCTGGGAATAAATCTCTGCCCAGCAGTCGCCAAGAATAATTGAGTTCTGCAGACTTATCCTTATTAGTGGAATCCCGTGTGTTTTTTCCCTTGCACAGACTTATTAGAATTGATTAGAGAACCGTTCAGAGGTAACACTGCCACTAGAATATTTTCAAGGAAAAAACAAACACAATCAAATGTAAAGCAGTGGGGCTTGCCAAGAAAGATGCTACATTTTTAGTGCCAGGAAAACTCCACATAACAGAAATTATTTTGTACATCTCTCTTGGACTTCAAGGGTTTTAGATTTCAATGTAAAGCGGTTTACAAATTAAACAACAACCCAGAAAAATACACTTGGAGAGTTGGAGAGAGGAAAGTAAAACTGCAGTGAAAAGCATGCTAGCGGAATAAGCAGGATTGACTCCTCGGACAGCACACTTTGATTCCAAGCATCCACAGATTTTTTTTTGCCCTTAAGGTTGCTGAATCTGGTGGAGATTGAATGGATTTCACAGCGCCGCAAGCCTCAAATTTCAAAATACTCAGAACCATACACAGAGGACGGCACGACAGCACGGGGTGACACCCAAGCCAGCCGAGGGCTGGTGCCTTCCAGAGAGTGAAGGACTGTGGGAACTTGGTAAATCCCGGGGTCTGGGAAGGGAGCCGAAAGGACCAGGAGGGAGCTTGCTGCCCGCAGTCTGCAGTCATCAGCACGGCCTGGATGCCCCAGACATCCCCAGGACACTGGGCAACTCTTCCTACCAAGTGCGTAGCACACCCTATTCCTCAAGGACTTCCCCAAGGGACCATTGATCAAAGAAGAAGTGCGAGGCAAGGGGAAGCTCGCTTCGCAGCATATTTAGGGCATGGCTGTTGTCATAAATCTAGAGGCACAGGACTCCTGGAGCAGGACACGTGCCCGAGTGTGGATTCAGGCTGTGGCCTGGAAGTTCGTAGGGCGAAAGATGGCGGCCCGAGAGGTGTCCCCCAGTTCCCTTTGGGGTCTAAGCATCCAGGAAGGGGGCAGTCCCTGCTCTCAGCCTTTCCACCCTCCTCTCAGGGAGGCCCCTGCGTGCACCCGAGGCCTGCCCAGGGTCAGTGTGGAGCCCAGGAGTCTGCACTGCAGTGAGCCCTTGGATTGGGCCAGCGCTCTGGGCCAGTCAGTCGGCCAGGGTCCCTGGGAGTGGGTGAAGGCCTCTGCCACGGTGCGGGAGGTGGACGCAGAGCAAAGGCGAGGCCCCTGTGACGCTGTGTGTCCCGGGGCGGGTCATCCAGTGACCTGGGTTCCTCACGGGTGTGCTGAGAAGTCACCGTACCCCCAGTAATGGCAGTGGCTTCTCCGCTCCGGCCGGCTTCCCTGGGGTCTCTTGTGATCAGATGTGACACCGGATACCCAGGCCCTCTCGGATGTGCTACTCTGGCTTGCACAGTGCCTGTGCTTGTAAAGAGGACACAGGAGGCAGCCCCTGGCGACAGACACAGGTCTCAGCTCCGGAAACCACAGCGGCAGAAGAGGGAGACTTCCCCGTACAGACGGAGCAGGATTTGAACAACATCAGCTGGGAAAAGTACAGTGCCACGCACGGTGCCTGCGGCTGGCAGCCGGACCATAGGCGGTGTGATCCCAAAGTATGGCGAATGTTTAAAAGTCTTTACGTTTATGATAGTAAAAGATGCATTGTCATTAAGTCCCCGCAAAATCCTCCCCCTCGCTTCCCACACACGCGTCCCCCCGGCCTGGCCACTTCCCGCAGCAGCTCTGGAGGCCTCTTCCTGAGGGTCTTTAGCTGCACTGTCACAGCTGCCTCAGTGTCCTGAATCGATTCAAAGCGTTTCCCGTCCACGGTCATTTCATCTTTGGAGAACAGGCAGAAGCTGCACGGTGCCAGGTATCATCAATAAGGCGGAGGAGGACGGAGCGTCGTGTTTTTATGAGCTGCCTTTCCGCTGGGTGGTGCTCAGCAGCAGTCACTGTATTTTTGATCACACCTCCCAAACACACTCAGGGAAGAGGACTCCAGAGCTGCTGCAGAAAGTGGCCGGGACAGTGGGGAAAGTATGTTTGGACGGAGGGGGGAGATGAACAAATCAAGTAGGGATCTATTAATCTATATAAAAATCACACAAAATAAAATTTCTGAACAATTCTTTATGCACTCTCGTGGTTTTTGTTGGTCCAGGTGTAAGACTGGGATCTGGAGTTTTTTCTTTCTGCTTTCTAGATTGTGGGTGTGACATCTCATAGCGGTGACCCCGTGCTAGGAAGACCACAGAGGGTTTGCTAATCAAACGCTGCCTTGCTGTTACCTACAGTGCCGAATTTCCTATTGTTTCTGTTAATTTGCACTGTTAAGTATTCTGGAAGTTTAAATGCCTGTGGAGGTGCCGGCTCTGATGGAAAAGCTTCGAGCCAGACGCTGAATTCGTCAAAGATACCAGAAGCACTGCTTTGCAAAATGTATTTTGTGTCTATCTCGGGTTTACATCCTTGACTATATGATCCTTAAGTGTAACTTGTTTTTCTGAAAAAGCTTAAAACTATTTTATATTTTCCTTTTGGGAGTCATCTCTATTTCCAAGACCCTGAAGTGGCATTAGTTAAAATTGTGATCAGAGGGAGACACGGTACAGAAGTGTCCAGTCCATTGTAGAAGCGGCTCTGTAGCCATGGATGTGTATCCTAACAATCGTGCCCTTCAGAACTGGAGTTTTCTAAAATAATCTTATTTTTATACTTGTATGTTCCACTGATTTCAGATGTCTACCATGGGGAAGGACATAAACCATGTGGGATTATTTGAATAAATAATACTTCTCACTTGTTGGGCTTGGAACTTTCTTTGAAACACGTCTCGAGTCACACCTTAGAAGTTGCTCCCGGTGATGCATGCTGGACTGTTATTTCCACGGCATCCAGGGAGGTCCTGGGAGATACCAGACAGAAGTATGTGGAGCAGGGCTCAGGTCCAGCGATCAAGACACATAACACCCTGGAAAGAATAAAGACCTTTAGAGACTACAAACTGCACAGCGGAAACCACCTGTGGAAACAAAACTGAAAATCTGGATGTGGTGGCACATGCCTGTAATCCCAGCTCTCTGGAAGGCTGAGGCAGGAAGGTCCCCAGCTTCAAGCCCAGCTAGTGAGACCTTATCTCAAAAAATATTTTAAAATACATTGAAAAGGCACAGTGAGCTGGTCTGAAGGACTGGGTAGGACAGTCCAGCCCCATCTTGGGGACTGACAGGACAGGGCTGGGAGTGGCTGCCTGCCTGTAGTCCTAGGAACCCTATGGGGAGGATGTTTCTCCATTACCAAGGAGACCAGCTCAGGGACCTAAGCGGAAGAACAGCTGGAAAGGTGTGCATGCTGGGCTTGGAGCCGGCTCTGAGCTCTCTCTTCTTACCCCAAACTTGCCCTTCTGCGTCCAGAGCCTGGCGTGCGGTGCACGTGGTGAGGACCCAGCCAGGCCACTCATTCTCTGCAGAGGGCACTGCCTGGGTGGGCAGAGCACTTGTGAACAGAACGCCACCGCCCAGGAGACAGGGTCTACTGCGACACCAGCCCTGTGCTCTGTCCTTCTCCCGTGCGTGCACCCAAAGCCTTCTGGCTGAGCTCCATCCCCAGCCTTTGTGATTTATTTTGAGACCAAGTCTCACTGAGTTGCCCAGGCTAAGCCTGAACTTGTAACCCTCCTGCTTCAGCCTCCCAGAAGGCTGCGATTTCAGGAATGCACCAGCCCACCTGGCTTACACTTTTCATTGACAGCACCCAGGTAAGAAAGAAAAAGCACTTTAAACACTTCAAACCTCGTGGGGGCGGAAACAACAGTTACTGGAGAAATAGGACGAGACACAGCTCTTTCTAGTGACCAGGGAGAGACTCGGGTTTCAGTTCATTCTCTAAGCTTCAGTTCAGGAATCCCAGTCTCCAGGCCCGAGCCCTGGGCAGCCTCGAAGCTGTGATTTTGTGAGTCTGTCGCTAGATGGTGCTGTTGGGACGCTTTGTGACCCAAAGTATTTTGCTCTTGGGTTTTTTTGGTAGGGTTTTTTCTTTTTTGTTTTTTGCGTTTGGGGGATTTTTTTGGCTTTCACAGGCAGCCTTTATCATGCGGAGTGACCCCAAATCCTCATCTCCAGGCCCTGGTAGGAAAACCGAGACAGCGCTGTCACAACGCGCCCAGCTTCTGCTGTCGGTGGCGCGCTGCAGGCTCAAGACGATCGGAGCTGTGCTCTCAACAGTTCCCCTAAGTGAAAAAAGGGAAATCGAAAGGAAAACTGCGTTAGGAGTTAAGCATTAACGACGGGCTACACCCCAGTACCACCAGGGCGAGATAGCGGGGGAGATACTGGTAAGGACTACCGCACAGAAAGCGAAGGTCACCGGGCAGCGAGTCTACAAACATCCTACGATTCAGAATTTTTATAACAGTTACGTTAGGTCGGGCTCAGAATCGCTCCGGACACTCAGGATCGGGGCAGAGCCTTTCGTGCTGGTTACTGTCGGGCGCTCGCGGGGGGCTTCCCTTTGCAGCCCACGGCACAGCACACACTCGACGCCCCGTTGATTCCGACAGCGCTGCTCTTTGTCTTTGCGCAGTCTCCCCTCGGGCCTCGCCGGTCCGCCGTCCTGCAGCTGGGGTGTTGATGCCCCGGTGGCTGAGGTGTTTACCAACTTTGTGGGTCGTGTCTGGGCGACACTGGGGGGACAGAGCAGTGATGGGGATGCAGTGTCCGTCTGAGCCCTTTGGGTCACATTGGAGCCAGAGGGGGATGTAGGAGGACTGGCCCTCGGGGTGGCCCTCCCTGGAACCCGCTCCGTTTAATCTTAACCCTCCTTCTGGGGAGGCCCGTCATCCTAAATCCTAATTACATCATTTTCTAAGGGCACTATCGCTGCAGAGTTCTCAGAGGCAACAGTACGAAGTCTTACAAGGAAAATATAGGCAAGACTGAGGCAGGAGGATCTCTTAATTAAGTTGAAAGCGAGCCTGGGCTACATAGTGAGTTTAGGGCTAGCCTGGACTACACAGCAGGAACCTGTCTCAAAAATTAAATAAAATAAAAAGGGAAATATACCGCGAAACCAAGAGCAAAACAAACTCGCCTGTAACAGAGGAACATGATCTTTAACCATTCCAGTGTTCACCAAAGATACAGGAAGCGAAACGTGTAAGGCAGCTGCGTTTCATCAGACAGCTGTATCCAGGAGCCCTGGTTCCAGACTCTTGTGAAATCTGACTGCAAATACTCAAAGCTCTGGATGGAACCCAGGAGGTGTGAAATAGCCGTGGGTGAGTTTTGATAAGCACCTACCACGGCCAAGTAACAGTCGTTTATTTCGTCTGAGTCCACCAAGATGATTACGGTTAGGTATCTCAAACATACACTAAAAACAAACTGAGAAGGTAACACCGGGAACGTCCTTCACGTCACCAGCGGCTCCTTGGAAATGCGCCGCCCAGGGATGTGGGTGCCTCAGCCTCCTGCTCCACAGACCCCAGGGGTCCCCCAGTGGGAGACAGGGCTGCACCCCAGCACTGAATCTCCACATCCCCGCAGCAGTGGCGCCTGAGGAGACACAGAAGGGCCGAGCCAGCGCCCAGCCGAGTCCCTCTTGCAGCACTCGCGGTACCGAGGAGGGTGGCACCCGGCTCAGCTTCCTTCATGGGGCCAGACCTGCCGCGGGGACCCCGGGGGCAGTGGCGCCGTCTGCTCCTGGCCTGCACACAGAGGCCCAGCTGTGGAGGTGCAGCCCCGGCCAGGGACCCCTGGAGCGAGGACCATGCAGCACCCACCACCCAGCCAAGCACCCGCGTCCTGAGCTCATAGCCTGGTGCCCTGGGACGGCCGGGCAGGGGCGCAGGCGGGCAGCAGCAGCCGGGCTCAGGGTCTTGCCCTGGGTGCCCTCCTGGGTGGGGGGTCCAGGGGCAGCTTGAACCCCGGCCTGAGCTGGGCCCCTCCCTGAGCAGGAGTCACTCAGGGCCCCCCTGAGTTCTGACACGAGTGGGACAGGGCGCTTCTGCTGTCACTGGCAGGGCGGGCTGGGTCCCCCACACTCGCTCTTGTGCTTGGCCTCCTTGGTGATTCCAGCTGGGTTGGCCCAGGGCATCCCCTCCCCTCTGGGGAGCCGGGGTCCCCACTTTCCCGCCCTCCTGTCCAGGTACCGCCAGGAAAACTGAGCCCAGAGCAGGACCCACCCAGCGCCTGGGCCCCAACCCCCTTCCCGGTGTCCTGGGAAGCCGGAGTTAGGAGGGGCCTGGGGGACAGGGTGGACAGCAGGGCGGGGCGGTGGCTGTGTCTGCAGGCTCTGAGCTGGGCCGGGGCAGCAGCTCTACCACATGAGGGCACAGCCCTTCCTGGGAGCTGCAGGCCACCAGAGCCTCCATGGGCCTGAGCCCCTGCAGCTGACAGGCCACCCGGGGAGGGGACCAGGGCGCCACTACCCACGGCCATGGACAGGGTTCGCGCAGCACCCGTGTCCCCAGTGTCACCTCTGAGCACATGTGGAACTGACCGAGGATCAAGGACACGAGCTTCGGAGTCTGTGAGGGAGCGGACAGGGACACTTGTCCAGGCCCACCCTGCCACCACTGTCCAGCAAGGCCTGAGCCCCACCCCCTGCAGGGAGCGGGCAATACTGAGGTAGCCTGTGTTTCGGGGTCTCTGCATGTCAGGGTCTGTGTAGACAGCACCCCAGTCCCCACGTGACTGTCCTGTGTGTGTCCCCCAACAGCGTCCTGCACTCCCTGGTCCTCAGCCCTCCTCATCCCTTCTGGGCCCTGGGGTCCCCACGTCCCCGGGCTCCCCCTGAGGGGCCCAGGGTCAGGGCCTCTCCGGCCGGTGGCCCCCAGCCCCGGTCTGTCTCTCGGCCTCCTTCGCCCTGGCCTCCTGCCTGGAGTGGCCTGTGGACTGGAGCCCGGCTCTGGGAGGCACAGGAGTGAGCGCGTGGCTGCTGTCCATCCCCCTGCCCTGGCTTGGCCACACGGCCCGGGCCACCCGAGAGGAAGTCCTCCGAGGCTGACAGCTCATGTGCCACTGTCCCTCAGCCCAGACCCCCAGCAGGGCTCAGCACGGTGTCCCTGGCTCCTCTGCCTGGCACCCGGCTGTGGCCTGCTGCCGGGCCCCTGTTCAGGAACCAGCCCCTCCCCTCTCGGCTGGGAGCCTGCCGTGGCACAAACAGCACGGGCGTCTTCCAGCGTGTCCATGTTAGACAGAAGTAAGACGGGGAGACATCAACCAGCCAGGAAGGTTTATTAGCAGACAAGGAGGGTGCAAGTGGAGGGCAGGGCTGCAGCTCTAAGCCTGGGCTGGGGGCGGGGCTTGGGCTGGGGATGGGAGGAGCAGGTCTGAAATTGCCTTTTGCAAGCTCTGTGGACCTAGGTGAAAGCCTAGGCTGCCTGGGTGAGCTCTGAGGGACGTCCCCTTCCCCGCTGCGCTCTTCCAGCTGGAAATCAAATGACTGTCGACTCCTCCTGATCCCCAGCGCTACTGCACAAAAAGCAGAGAGGCGCCTCTGCCTCTGCGTACTGCGCGTCTGCTCAGCGGCCACCTCACCCTCCCGGCCGTCAGGAGAGGCCCGGGGCCAGGAGCCAGGTTAAACGGGGAACTTGGCGAGCCGGCGCCGGGCCTGACCCAGCCGCACCAGCCGCTCCTTCAGGAGCCGCCTCTTCCTCACGATGTTGCTGCGCTCCTTCAGGAGCCAGGCGCAGCCCTCCTTGTCCTGCAGCTGCTGCAGCATGGGTTCTGCAGCCTCAGGCCGAACAGCTGCAGGACGTAGTACTGGATGACCAAGGGGATGTGTCTGCCCAGGTTCCCTCCGACCTCCTGGAGGAAAGGACAGATCTCAGAACGGCCGTGCCGGGGGAACCCTGATCTCGCCGTGTGCGCACTGGAGGATCCAGGGAGACCCTGGCCTGGGTTCACACTCGGTGTTCTCGGCGCGGGGGGCAGAAGGGGGTCCTCGTGGACAGAGAGGGACCCCACGGAGGTCACGGTGGCGATGACCTCTGTCCCTGGCCTCCCTGACCACCACCTGGGTGCTGGAAGGAAGAGGGTGGAACACGCTGTGCAACAGTGACATTCACAGCAAAGGGACATTTGCAGGCGCCCGCCCTCGGGGGAACGCCGCGCTCTTCTTGTTCGGGTCAGCCTCGGGCTGCTTGGCGCCAGGGTCTGTGCTGTGACGGCCCAGGCAGGAGCCCGAGTCCCAGCGTGGACAGAGTCCCCGCTCCGTCCTCTCCCTCTGTCCTCCCGCTCTCGCTCCTTCCGACACACATTGACCCAGGGCCGTGGCATGTGCCGGCGGCCCGTCAAGGTCTGCCGCCCCTCTGTGACTCAGCTTCCTTCTCTGGGGTGCACGGACAGCATGGCCACAGACCCCCCAAACGGGGAACCACAGACAGTGTGTCAAGAGCCACCCGCTCGGGGAGGAGCCAGGCAGGCCAGGAGCACCCAGGGGCCCTCCCGGCAGGGGCAGCGAGCGGGGGGCAGCGAGAGGGGCGCAGCGAGTGAGCCCGGAGGGAGCAGACCGCGCCAGCGAAGGGCGGCTCGGGGTGGCGGGACGTGCAGAAGCCCCCGGTGGGGCACGGACACAGCGTCAGGCAGGACTCCGCCACAGCACAGAGCTCTGAGCCGTGTGACCACAGGGACGCTCCTGGAGGACACTGCGCTCGGAGACCTCAGCCGACCCCGCACGGCGCGGGCCCTGAGGGCCCAGATCCCTAAGCCAGAGCTCAGGTGCTGGGTGCTGGGCCTGAGGAGGGGACGGGGACTCGGTGCTAATGGGGACAGTGTCAGTGTCGGGATGGAGGGAGGCCGGCTGCACAATAACGTGAAGGAATTTCGTGTCCCTAAGTCGTGGCATCTGTAAGTGGTTAGGTGGTGAAATTTATCTTTTGTCCTTTGCGCCGTGATAGACAAGGACAAAGAGTGCTGCACAGGAAGGGCAGCACACGGTGCGACGCGCTCGGTCGGGATGCCCGGAGTGAGAAGCGGGACGCCCTGGGTCTCCACGCGGTCGCCTCCTGCGCCTGCGCAGCCGCTGCTCCCAGCCCCGCCCCCGGGGCGCCCTGTGCTTCGGGCCACACCGCTGGGTGACGCTGCCCTGCACCCGCAGCCGCAGACTCCCTGCCCGGGCTCGCAGCAGGGAAGGAGGACTCGGCCCGCGTCCTCCACGTGAGCACACACACCTGGCAGTAGGCTTTCAGGTGCTGCAGAAACTCGGTCACGGCAGAGTCCCGTGCAGGAGTGCCGAAAGAGCTAGCGCGCACCACGGCTGCTTTCTCCCGGGCCTGCTGCAGCGCGTCCTGGTAGGCCTGGTCCTGGCAGTAGACGATCTGCTCCATCTGGAAGTGAAGGCGGATGGCCGCCTCCGCGGCCTCTTCCTGGTCTGAGCCAATGTCCTCGATTTTGTTCTGCAGGAGGAGAAAGACCCCTAAAGAGGCGAACCCACAGCTCCCGGGAACCTGTCACCCGAGAGCCTGGAGCGGTGGCCACCCGACCTGGAGGTCCCACCCACAGTGCTGCAAGGAGACCCCACCCCGGGCTGGGCCCCGCCGGCTCTGTCCTCAGCCAGGACTCAGTTTCCCTCCTTGCTCCCTGTGGGTCTGAGGGGAAGCTACGGCGTCCCCCAGGGGACACACGAGGGCAGGAAGGTCTGGCCTGGGTCAGCCCCATCCCACACATGCGCGGTCCCTGCTTTCAGGGTCACCGAGGAGGACAGCTTTGCCCAGGAAGCACCCAGGCCTCCACCTCGCAGAGCACTGTGTGTGAGGCTCGGTGCTGGCCCATGAGTGCTGACCACGTCCTCCTGTCACGGCCACCCCAGGACACACCACTCGTCTATTCAGGGCCACGGGCCAGCGAGGTGGCCACCCTCGGCCTCAGGCTGGAGGACGGCAGAGCCAGGGTGCCCCGTGTCAGGAGCCCTGTCCTGCCTGCCCGTGCATGCGCTTGGTGTCCTGCCCCTCGCCCCCTCCACAGCCGCTTCCTGCCCTGAGCCCCTCGCTGAGTCTGCGCGGGGCCGTCCCCTCCCACAGGGTCAGTGGTCTGCACTGAGCGGGGCCCTGGTCCTGGTTCACGCTTCCCAGCCCCGCTGCTAGCCCACAGTGCTGGGGACACCGGGGAGGATTCCCAGGCGAGCGCCGGGCCGCTTCTCCACACACAGACAGGACGCTGGAGCGGGCCCAGGGCGTGACACACCCGCTGCACTGTCGCATCCCATCCCGGGCTTTACCTTGGAGGTTTTGTGCAGATTGAAAAACTCACTGAAGTTCTTGTCAGAAACCGCTGTGAAGGCCTTGCGAACCATTTCTGATGGGGAGGGAGAGGCGGGTGAGCACCGACCGCTGCTGCCCACTCCGCGTGGGCCGCGGCCCGTGGGACCTAAAGTGGTCAGGAGCGCGGGCTTCTGTCCCCGCTCCGCCGCCACCCCTGCCCCCGTCCCGTGAAGAGGCCGCCGCTCGGGGGTCAGGCTGAAAATCCTCCGCACAGATCTGCCGCACATCGCATTTTCTACCCCGAGTAGACACCCTTTCGAGGAAGGTGATTTCTTGTGGAGTTACAAACATGTTCATACTTTAAAATAAAACCAGCACCTCAGTCTTCAGTTTACTGAAACAATCTACGTGTCCACGTTCTCCATTTGGAAAAGAATCCCAAGAACGTGTTCTTACTTAAACGAATCACATTGGCGTCACTTTGAAAGTCACGCTCCTATTCTACTTTCCTGTAGGATGTTGCGGTCACGTTGCCGAGTATCATTATGTTTGCATGTCTTTTTTTTTTCGAGACAGGACCTCCTTGTATACCCAGCCTGGCCTCGAGCTCAGTGATCCTCCTGCTTCAGCCGCCTGAGCGCTGGGATCACAGGTGTGTGCTACCAGACCCAGCCCCAAATCACAGCTTTCTGAAAAGCAGTGTCTGTGTGTTGATTTTTAACTTTGTTGTGTGTCTTTGTAGCTGTAAAGATTGCAAACTTTCCTCTAGGTGGGAAAAAATGATCTGGGATGATGAAAGCATGTAATGAGGGAAGCAGGTGCGTTATTCTGCAGCCTGCAGGTAAGGTGCATTGGACACACTTGGGCACGAGGTGTCCGGGGTCACCCTGACCCATCGCCCCAAGGAGCCTTGAGGGACTGGGCTTTGCTTAAGTGCAAGGTGAGCTCTGGGGAGGAGGCCAGGCAGGGCAGCCTGAGGGGAGAGATACACTCAGTTTTGAATCCAGCAGGTGATGCATTTCAAGAAGGGGTGAGCGGGGCTGGGGATTTAGCTCAGCAGCACAGCGACTGTCTGGCAAGTGCAAGGTTGTGAGTTCAATTCCCGGAACCGGAAGAAAACACACACACACACACACACACAAAAGACAAGGGGTGAACAGAGGATGAAACTCAGGTCTCCTTTGGGGGCTCTGACCCTGCCCTAGTCACAGAGATGCCCAGGGGACTCACACTTGGCCCTGTGTTTCAGCCCTGACCTGATTCCTCAGAGCTGCCCCATCAGCAGACCGTTCGAGGGTGGAAGTGACCACAGGCACAGGGCAGAGTGGCCTGGGGCAGAAACACACAGGTCTGCTCCAGAGTTGCTGGGACACAGCTCCAAAGGCCTCAGCACATGGAGGCAAGCATGGCCCTGGGTGGCTAACATGAGCCTGGTTGCCAGTTGGATGGTGTCAGGGGCCAGAAGTAGGGGGAGGGGCTGGGTTGGAGCTGTCACCCTGTCCTCTGCAGTGAGGCCTCCCTGAAACCCCCAGGTGCCCAAGTTCAGACGAAGCATAGGCACCCTGGGAGGGCAGTGCAGCCCCGCTCCACCGAGACTCGGCCCCTGGATCCTTTATGACACCAGGATACATCTGCGTGACACCCCAGGACCCTTGCGACACACCAGAACAAGTCCCTGCAGCACATTGCTGGCCAGGGAATTACCAAGCCTGAGCAGAGGGAGGCAGGACCCTGATTTTCAGATGGTGACTCCGGACCTGGGATGGAGCTATGAGCTACAGGACAATCCTGGGGACCAAGCCCTCCCCTCACTGGGTGTGTGCCCACTCTGATACTGGCAGAGCCCTGATCTGTGCGGCCCCAGGCTGGCACCCTGGACAGCAGAGAACAAGTTTCCGTGCAGCACACGCCCGGGGGAGGGCTCTGAAGTTCCTCCGCCTTCTCTCACCCCTCGCCCTGCCTGAGCCATAGACATCACCACGCAGAGCCGCGCTCACCGGTGACCTCACGCAGCAGGTCCACAGCCGGCTCCTCCAGGACCCGGAGTTGACTTTTCATGATCATCTCAAATGTCTTGTAGTTCACAAACCCAGGCAGCTCTCTGCCACGATGCTGGTTTTCAAATTTCATGACATCTCTTTTTAAACTGGCATAATCTACAGCAAGAAAGGGTAGCTTTGCATTATTTTACAAAATTTATAATAACCCCATTATAAATTTATAATAACCCCATAAAACCCCATGTAATAACCCCATTATAAATTTATAATAACCCCATAAATCCCAAATAACAATCTCCCAATCAAAAATAAATCTTGATTTTCAAATGGACAACTTCCCTTTGGACTGCAATAAAGAAAGCCGTGGCAAGTTAATTCGCCTCCTCACACCTGGCTGGCACATGCAGACCTCAGCCAGCGGGCAGCAGCAGGTGCAGAACTCAGGGGAGACAGACCTTGGAGTAGCGCTCAAGTATGGCATCTCCGAGACCCCATTCGATTTTACCAAACACAAAAGATCACGATAGCAAATGCTCCTTACCCAGAGCCAGTGCTCTCTAGGACACAGGATGACCTTGAGCACCAGCTGAAGACACCTGCAGATCACCTGCTCTGAGCTGAGCAGGAGCAGGGGGTGGCCCTCCTCACAGGGACCACACGGTACACAGGCACCCTGGAGTGTGACACGGGCTGTGGGGACCCTAGCAGGGTGGGGGTGCAGAAGGGCCCTGCCTCCTGCCCTCGGGAAGGCCCGACCCCCCTTCGCCACTGGAAACTCATCATCGAGATCAGTTCACATACAATAAAACTCACCCTATTAAAGGGAGCCATCCCATGATTTGGGGGTTATTCACAGAGCTGTGCAACCCCTCCCACTCCAGGACGTTCCCATCACCTGGAGGTCGCCCCACACCACACCCGCAGGTCCCTCGCTGCATCCCCTCACTCCAGCCCTGCAGCCCCTCCCCTGCTTCCTGTCTCGATCGCTCCCCCATCTGGACATTTCACGGGCAAGGGATCTCGTGAACATGCTCCTTTGTGACGGTTTCTCCCAGTCCGCAGCAGGGTTCAAGGCTTAGCCGTGCTCAGCAGGTGTCAGTGCTTCTGGCTTTCGGGGACTGAATACATCACACCGAAGGGTGTTACAGGCTCCAGCGTGTCCCCCAAAGCTCCTGTGCTGGGGTCCTAAGCCCAGTATCTCAGAATGTCACTGTGCCACAGACAGGGACTCTAAACAGGAATTAGGTTGAAATGAAGTCGTTCGTGGAATGAATAACCACAGCCAGCACTGCTCCAGTGGGGCCTCCACTCCTAACATGGAGAGCAAGGAGCTCACACCACCCGTCCACCCAACCAGTAAGGACAGGTCCTCTACAGCCGGGATGGACTGCAACACCTAATCAGTGTCTCCTAATGGCCAACCAGTCTGGGATAACAGGCTCCCAAAGATGTGGCTGGATCATGGGGTGCTGCGCCCCTCTGGATTAATCTCCTAATTTCATCAGTGAATGTGTGAGTGCCCAGCGGGAGGGGGGTCACTGGGTGCACCTGGAGAAGTCACATCTGTCTAGTGTTCTTCCCCAGGGCTCTGCTTCCCAACCACCATGAAAGAAGCAGCTTTGCTCTGTTATGGTCTGTGTCTGGATGGTCCCCCAAAGCCTCATACAGTCATGGGATGGGCTTCTAGAGTTTTTGATTGATCCATGGTCCCATGCTGGGATTATGGGTGTGAGTGCCACACCCGCCCTGGGGCGGGGAGCCCGCACACAATATAACAGAGGGGAAGAGGCTCGCTCTCTGCCACTCCTCCCTTTTTGCTCTTGCTTTTGCTGTCTTCCACCGCCATGAACTGTTGCCCTCTTCCGTGTCCCACTCTGCCTTGGAGCCAGCCGAGTATGGACTGAAGCCTCCACAAACTGTGAGCTAAGTAAACCTGTCCTTCCCTAATTTTAGGTGTTGGGTATTTTGTCTCAGCAATGAGAGAAAAGTAACCAAGACACTGCCACGCCCTCCCGCCATGATGTTTCTGCCTTGAACCAGCTGACCGTGGAACCGTGAGCCAGGTAGACTCACCCCCAACCTGTGGGTCAGCAATGGGAAAGCTGAGCTATACACTACATGTCCCTTGACATCAGTTACAGGTACCTACTGGCCTCATTTAGTGACAAGGAACCCAGCGAGTACAGCTTCTGTGTTAGCTGCCTGCTCCAGGCGTGCTCCTCGCCCTTCACGTCATGCTCCTCTGTGTCCTCACAGACCACGCCAGATCCTGGGCTGAGCCCTGACTCAGCGGTGTGGTCTAAATGTGTCCCCCAAGTTCAGGTGTTGAAAAAACTTCCCCCAGGCGTGGTGCCACTCAGAGGTGGGTCTTTAAGAGGACGTCAGCTCATGAGGGCTGCGCCTCTATAAAGAGATCACATGCGGTAGGAAAGAGCCAAGAGGAGTTGCCGCCCTGCTCCATGTGAGGACACAGCCGGGTGTCACCACCTCGGCAGTGAGCCCCAGGCTCACCAGACGGCCAGCGGCCTGGCACCTTCCCTTGGACTCCTGCGTCCAGGGTGTGAGCAGCGAGTTTCCGCCCTGTCTGACTCCCCTTGCAGAGGTAAACATTTACAGCAGCGCAAATGAACCAAAGCACTCACCTTTTTCAAAGCAGTCTCCAATCATGGAATTCCAGTTCTGGAACTTCAGTCGGAGTCTGGCAAACAGCCGGGTGCCTTCCCTTCCCACGGTTTCCTCCCCGAGCACTAGAGCACTGATGTCCTGATTAAACACATTGATTTTCTGCCGAGAAGAGAAACGTGTCAGCACGGATGTCCACCTGCGGGGTGGAGGTGGCGTGGAGGTCTCCTGTACCGTAGGGTGCCAGCCACTCTCCCCCTCATGGCCCATCTGGAACAAGGAGGGAAGAGACCCTGGGACCAGGATGAGTGGTGGCCTGCCAGCTGCCCTTGGGACCCCGCTGAGGGCCTTTCCGAGCCCCGGCAATGAGCTCGACTCCCTGACTTCCGTCTCCCTCCGCCTCCTCTGTCTCTTGCAGGGTGAGGGCGCCCTTCTCTTGCTGAGTGGCAGAGCACAGAGGAGCCTCGGGCGGCAGCGACGGCAGGAGTCGGCACAGGCCGCCTGGGCGGACAGCAACGCAGGCATCTCGGGCACAGCCCGCCGCAATCCTCACCTCTATCAAGAAGACTATTTTCTCGCTGTCATCCTCTGGGATGTCCATGCCGTACTTCTGTAGCTCCTCTGTTGTTTTCTGGTGATGCTCCTTTATCTTGTTTTCCAGCATCGGCAGGGATTTCTGGGGCAGAAGAGAAGGTAGAACTTATAAGTATGGACGAGGAGTGGGAGAGGCCCAGGCCTGCTCTGCAGAGAGGCTGCCTGGTCCGTGGGACACCTCAGTGTCCCCTCCTGATCTTCCTGGGCAGAGAGCCACAGCAGGGACTCATCGCCCCAGTGCCACAGTCCCTGTGCCAACTCCCAGCAATAAACCCACACACGGTGCCCACTGCACACGGTGCCCAGCCTGCTGAGGGCCACCGAGGGCAGCTCCTTTTGTGCCTCCGTCTGCCTGATGCTCTCTGTCAGGAGAAGTGGCTGTCGGGACAACTACAGATCCTATGACTTGCATGTTTTCAACTGGGTACAGCTGGCAGCGGTCGTGTTCTGGCCCAGTGGCTGGCTGGGTACGGCCCACCCTGGCCAGGATGTTAGCACTGTCCCTTTCCGTATGACAGGTGCTAGGATAGTGTGGGTCACTAGGAGGCTGAAGCCAGGGCACAACGGTCACCCCGGGTTTAAGAAGACAGCAGCCAATGTTTTCTTCAGCAGAAGAAGCATTTTCTTCCGTGGGGAAGCAAACCCTAGCTCAGGGTTAGGACCCTGACCAGTGCAAGGGTAAACGACCAGTCCATGAGGCGCGCCCAGGGCTGGCTCCGACAGGGACGCGGGCTCTTTCTGCTGTGGTCACCCCGGTGAGTGCTGGCCTCTCCATCATGGCCCACGAGATGTCACCTTGCTCTCCACTGAGCCCTCGCTCAGGGAGGGGGACCTCAACCTTGGCACCAAGTGGAGGGGAGAGAAGGTCCCGCGAGCCTCGGTGCCCACAAGCTGCCTTCCCGCGGGTCTGCTGTGCGGATCCTGGCTCTGCCCGGACACCTGTGTCCCAGGGCTGCAGCAAGAGCAGAACCTTAGCCGCAGGCCAGGCCTCCCCACCTCATCCCTCAGGGTCACTGAGCACAGGAGGTGCTGGAGCCACGCTGCTCGGCACGGTGTCCAGGTCCCTCCAGGAGGACACAGGGCCCTGCCCAACTTACACAGATGTGTGCAATGAGCTCGGCGGACAGCCTCTCTGCCAGGCAGGGGACCGTGGCCTTCCCATCGTCCAGCAGCTCCCTGAGTGAGGGCAGAGAGATGCCTTAGGCACATGGGAGGCTAGTGTCGCCTGCTCCCCAGGGAACAGCTGACACGTGACTGAGCCCTGGCGCACACGCAGCGGGCAGCATGCCGAGGCTGCAGGGAGCCAGCTCAGATCCTGCCACACCGCTCTGAACCCACCCAGCTGAGCACGGACAGTGCCTCAAGGCCACACGCCTGTCTACAAAAGTCCACGCCACTGCAGGTGTGTTTCCGCAGCACGTGCACCTGCACACGTCCCTCTGATGTGCTAGGCAGGTGTGCGTGCCCTCCATGTGGACAGGAGCGGGCACTGTGTGTGTGTGAGGAGGGTGGAGCAGGAAGACACCCCGGCCGGAATTCAAACCAGACACAGGGAGGAAGGAGGCTGCGCTGTCCCCTCAAGCTGCCCGGCTCTGTGCCTGGAGGGCTGTGGCAGGCCGCCCTGCTGCTGACGTGAACTTTCAGGGTGAGAGCGCAGGAGGCCGAGCACCATCCCTCTGAGACAGCACATTTGTGCTGAGGTTTGACCTGCATACTCAATACTTAAAAAAATACGCATGAGGTGAAATGGACCTTTTTAACCATTTTAGTGCCAGCTCAGTGGCGTCAGATTCCTCCACAGTCACCGCCTACCAGGCACCAATGAGACTCTGCACATCTCACCCACACACACACACACACCCACACCCGTCCCGCCTCCTCCAGCCCAACCCCCGCCCTTGTCGGCCCTGTGAGGTGGCAGGACTCCACGGGTCACCAATGCCAGCATCACATCCTCAGGGCCCCCCCACACTGCAACGAGCAGGGGGCCTGCTCCTTCCCAAGGCTGGGAGACTCCAGCTCACGTGCACCCCGCGTGTTCTCCACGCACGGACCCCGCGTTCTTCCACTCGTGCCGTGTGCAGCGCGCTGCCACGCACCACAGCGTGTGACACCTTCCTTCCGAGGCTGCCTTCCCGCAGCCTTCCGGGAGAGCTGATGCCCCAGCAGCTCCACCTCCGGGTGCCCGTCAGGGGAACCAAACCACTTTCAGGCTGTGCCATTTTGCCTTGGATATGAAGGTTGGAAAAGCCTTCAGTGGCCCTGCCTGGAGCATCACCACCCACGCGGTTTCTGGGATGCGCGTCACTTCGTAAGATGCGTGTGTCACACACGGCATTTCATGTCTACACTGCAGTACCAGTAACTGACCCCAGGGGCGCTCTACCACGGAGCCACATCCCAGGTCCGCCCAGGCCCTCATAGTACTTGTTTGCTTTTATTTCTATTTTTTACAATTTTGAGACAGGGTCTTGCTAAGTTGCTCAGGTGGGCCTTGACCTTTCGACCTTCTTCCTCAGCTTCCCTCAGCGCTAAAATTACGGGTGTGGGCAACTGTCCCTGTCTCTTTTTAATCTTCCACTGGTATTTATTTTGCTGTGATGCGTGAAGATACTATTGTCCCAGGCCAGGCTGGTGAGCTGCAGCTGCACACGGGTGGCAGCTGGCGCACTCACCGCAGTGCAGACACACGCACCGGGGTTCCAGGCTCACCGCTCTTCTCCCTCCGCGTCTCTGTCTCTTCCCGTTCCAGCACCACACCGTGTCCGAGACTGTGCCGCGGCCCCTCCCCGCCGTGTTTTGTTTTTCACAGTGCTTTGTGCACTCCCCTTTCATTATTCCAGACCAGTTTCACGTTATTGCCAGGGAGCAAAGCCGGTCTGTCTGTCTGTCTGTCTCTCTCACACAGTCACACACACACACAGTCGCTCACACACCCACACTCCGCACACCCGATACCGCCTTCCAGGGTGTTTCCCTGGCGGGGACAGACGTCCTCAGTGACACCGGTCCAGGACGAGAACGGCAGCGCACCTGTAGTGTGGGTGTTCCTCAAAGAAGACCTTTTCCCTCTGCAGGGCCTCGGCCAGGCTCAGGCGCTCCTGGATGTCCTGCTGCCTGCGGCACCGGACAACCATGTAGCCCTTCTTCAGGGGGCACACCAGGTTGTGCACCACGTCCACCACCTTGTCCTCCGTGCCTTTGTCCACCAGATCTGGCTTTGTCAAGATGCCTGCACCAGAGACTTGGGATCAGGGGACGCACAAAGTCCCCAGGCAGAGGGCAAGGGTGGCTCCTGCCCCGGCCCCAGTGGCCAGGGCTTGATCCCACTGCGTTGGAGGGCAAAGAGGATCCCCACAACAGCCACGGGCAAGCCGGAGCCCCAGGCAGAGAGCCTCGCTGGGCAACCAGGAGAGGAGCGGCACCGCCTGCATCACGGTCTCTCTTGACCTTCACCAGTTCTTGGCGGGGAACCCGCCGTCCACCCCTGCATCCCTGTGGACGTCCACCTTGCTCCCCCTGCCTTGATTCCCAGGGCCCGGCGCCCCTCTTGCCCTGGCGCGGCTTTCCCACTGTCCTGTGCCCTCCATGCAGAACGGCTGAAGGAACCAATCAAACGGTGGCATCTCGGCTGTCGCTCCTGTGGGTGCAGGTCCCCATCCTCTGTGCATGCAGAGCCTGGCCGTGGATTCAGGGGCACTTCGGACAGGAACCTCACAACCAACACCAGCCCTGCTACTCACCTATGGTCCTGTCTCCTGTGGGGTCCACCTTCTGTGCCATGCTCAGCGCCTCCGTGGTGGCAATGTCCACGTTACTAGGAACCACCACCAAGTTGATGGTCTCATCCTTTTCAATGTATTTCATTATGAGCTTCTTGATCTATGAAAAACGACATTACGGGCCTCCTGAGATGAGGGAGAGAGGTCAGACCGGCCCAACCTTGAATTTATTTGCTCTATTCTTGGACTCGAGGGGTGTCTCTTCCCCAGGAAGTAATGTCAGAAAAGCCAACCCACAAAGGGTAGCCAGGTGGCACCTGCCAAGCCAGAGGGATGACAGACTAACTCGACTGCAGCAGTCGCAGGAGCTAAGGGGTCAGGGAGGACGGTGAGGTTTGAGCCACTTAACTTCTTTCTCCCATAATCTCAGATCTAGTGGTCACAGTGGGCGACACAATGCCGGAAGCGCTGCCTGGCTCGTTCCCTGAACCTGTGTCCACGAACTGGATAGATTCACCCGCCCCCAAGTCTCCTCCACACCCGTGTCTCACACTCCCATCACGCACCCGAGTGGAGGTGCCGCAGAACTGAACCACAGCCAAAGCAGAGTCATCGAATAAGACAGAAGGAACAGGAAATGTGTTTCATTTTCAGCATGGACGGTGGGGGAGCTGATGGGCACTGGCCTCGCTAAGGCCACCAGGCTTCCACATGTCCCTCTCCCACACAGCCCTGGACTCACAGCCGCCCTCAGGGGCCGCCGCCTGCGCCCCAGGCCAGGTCTGAAGGGCGTCTGCAGTTTACCTGGTGACCGATGTCAACCGGCTGATTGCCCACGGCCACCCTGGTGATCCCAGGAAGGTCGATGAGAGTGAGGTCCGGGACAGTGGGGGAGCCGATCTCCAGACTAATGAGCTCGTCCTTGATGCACTCTCTGTCCCCTGTGATTGTATCCTGGGCTGCCAGAGGGAAAAAGGAAGGTGCATGACATGTAGAGGGGGGCTTTCCCCTCCCGGGGAGGCCCAGAAAGCACCTCCGCTTCCGGGCTTCTGGACACAGCTCCTCTTAGGCCGAGTCCACCTTGTGAGATCAGAGCAGACCGGCTCCTGAGAGCACTCCCAGCACTTTCCAAGCTGTGGCCAGTGCTGTCCCCAGGGAGTCCTGGTAATGCCGCCCACGAGGCCCCAGTGGAGCCCGGACCCCCTTATCCCTCCCTCTATGGTGAGGCGACAGTCACAGGGAGGAGATGGGAAGAAGTTCATATGCAGGGGATCCCCCAAACCAGAGCTGCAGGTTGACCTGGGGAGGGGTCAGCTCAGGCAGGAGCAGCCCTGGCTGCGGGCGTCCTCACAGAGGCTCTTGTCTCGAGGCCCCCTCGGGAAGGACGCACACTGGATGAAAACGGCTGCCTCTAACTGTTCGCTCACACCCTTTGCTGGAATTTGCCTCCCGGTCGCCTGAAACATCAGCTCAGATCCAGAGCACAGAGGGAAGATAACGGCAACGGCAGCTATGGGAAAGCAGCAAATGGTCCCCAGGTCCCCATGTCTGGGAGTTACGGTCATGGCAGTGAGCTCAGGCCACAGACACATATGAAAATGTCACCTACAACGTCAGGTAGGTGGCAGAAGGCAGTGACAGGGGCTTTGCCACTGCCCAGCCAGCAGAATGTGGCCTTGCTGGCTTCACCAATGAGGGACCAGGGACAGAGGCTGTCCTCAGGGCAGACAGACAGAAGCAGGAGACATGGTCCGTGACCCAGCTCCCAACCCAGCTGTGCTCTGAGCCTGGCAGATGTTTGTGTGACTGAGGAAACACCCTGTCGTCTCACTGCCACCTGCGTGCGCCATGTGCTGCCCAGCTCTGGGGCCCCCCTCATTCCTGGGCTGGCCCTGCCCCTCTGGAGAGCTGGTCCCTCCAGCTGAGTGTGGACAGGGCCTATCTGGACCTCAAAGGCTATGATGGTGGAGGCCGTGGGTGCTGCCGTCAGGAGTGGCCTCCTTTGCTGCTTGGAGCCCCTTCCTTCACGGGACAAGGGCCACAGAGGCCTGTCCCTGAGGACAGAGGCTGCACCCAGGAAGGACAGAGTGGGGCTCATCACAGGCCCCGCCAAACGGCTGGAACAGGCACCCTGCAGAGGGGGGACACAGGAGGCACTGACCATTGATGACTGCACTTTCCACGTGGGAAGCGTCCTTGATGTTCTGCTCAACGTCCAGGTAGCTGAGCTTGCCTCTCCACTCCTCTTCCGGCCTCAGCCTCTTCAGCTTCAGCACCAGAGGGCACCTGGTGACGATGCCTGGGGGCCACACCATGTCAGTTCTCGGGTCCCGGAGTCCCCACACGGGGCCTCCGACAGACACTGCTCACACTGGCACAGTCCCGGGACAGCGGGGGTGGAAAGAGCCCACTGTGCTTTCCCCCTCAGATGCCCTGAGACCTCACGTCAGGTGACCTCAGGCCTCTGCATTTCCAGCAGGCACCCAAGAAATTTTCTCTTCATGCTTGAAAGCCATGTCAGACTTCCTGCTTCCTCCCAACGCCCCGCAGCCACGTCGGAGGACACATGGGAAGGCCTGCAGCACCTGCACGCGTCCTCAGGGTCCCCGACACAGGCTCCACTCTCCGCTCTCCCAGCACGGCCCCTCGACCCACTACTCTCCACGTCTCCCGGACCCACTTGTCTCTCACGTCCCCGTGTCCTGAGCTCTGACTCTCACCTGGGCTCTGACCTCCTCCCTGGAGCCTTCACTGGCCCCCTCGGCCATGCACCTCACAGAGCACCGCTGAGCTGAGTGCCCATCTGCACCTCCCCAGGGAGGGGCTCGGGACGGCACCCCGAGTACACGGCACAGCTGGGGCCTGGTCCTTTCACTCAGACCTTCCCACACCGCAGGTTCCACAGAGCCCAGAGACACACTCAGTGAGACGGTGCGACTGACTGCACGGTCACCCCCCGAATGCCTCTCCAGAAGCCTTCACCAATGTGCCTGTGTGGGAGCCAGGGCCTTGGGGAAGCCATTCACGTTAAAGGAGGTAGCAGTGATAACAGCGGTGGAGTCCTTGACACTGTGACAGGTGCCCTTATGAGAGGTGCCAGAGACAGCAGGATCCTGCACAGGGAGAAGGCCACGTGCAGCCAGGAGAAGGGCTGGCTGTCTGCAGTCCATAAAGAAAGACCACAACCTCACGTGCACTTGCAGTGCCAGAGCTGTGGGAGGACCTCCCCCATTCCGGGCAGCTCAACCTGACTAAGGAGGACAAAGCTCTCACCGCTGCCTCTGGGGAGGGCGACTCCTGACAGGGCCTCCAGCACGGAGCTCTTGCCCGAGCTCTGGTCCCCGATGACAGCAATGGCAGGCAGAGCCAGGTCCTGCTCCACGCCCAGGGCCCGCAGCGAGTCGATGAGGTCAATGCAGGGCCGCACCTTCTCCTCGTACTGCCTGCAGAGGTTGTTCTCAGACACCTGGAGGGGTGAAAATGCAGAATCTCCTGGGTGGTCCGCCCTGCCACTGAAAATGGCCAGCTGCAAGAACAGTTACAAGCAGACTGCTGGGATTCCAAATTGCATTGAAAACAGGAAAAATATTTGAAGAAGCAATAATATGCACAAAGTCGTCAACCGATGAAAACTGTGAGCCCAAAGGTCCAAGAAATGAAATGAATCCCAACCATGGAACATATGGTATAAACCACATAACAACACATCACATCAAAACTCCTCAAGCCAGGTGTAGAGAGAAAAACGTAACAGCAGTCAGGAAATGACAAATGACATACAGAGGAACAAAGTCAAGCTTGACAGCAGACTTCTAATCAGAAGCAATATCACTATGAAGACAATAACAGTAGTTTTTCCAATAAAATTTTTATTGGTGTTGGTACTTGTTTTAGTTACTTTTCTCATTTATAAATAAAATGCCCAACACCCAAAGTTAGAGGAGGAAAGGTTTACTTGGCTCCCAGTTCATAGAGGTTTCAGTTCATAATCAGCTGGCCCCAAAGGAGGGTGGCATGGCAGAGGGCAACAGTTCATGGCAGGCAGAAGACAGCAAAGCAAGCAAAGGAAACAGCAACTGACTTTAGCATCTTCTTTCTACCCCATTTTATATTCTGTCAAGGCTCCTGGGTTAGAGCAGTGCCAAACCTATCAGTGGACTGATTTAGTAATCACCCACCCTTAATCCTAGAATCCTTAATCCTAGCACTGCATCATGAATCAGTCACATACTCTAGATCCAGCCCCCTCTGAAAAAGCCCCACCTATGACCTCATGAGGCTTTGGGGAGATATCTAGACACAAGCCATAACCATATTGAACCTAGGAACTCAAATGTGCTAAAATATAGTTTACATTTGAGAGCTGGGAATTGGTGGTGCATGCCTATAGTCCCAGAACTCAGGAGGCTGAGGCAGGAGGACTGCTGTGAGTTCAAGTCCAATTAGGCTACATATGGACAGCCTGAACTACATAGTAAGACCCTGTCTCAAAACAAGACAACAAACAGGTCTACCTCTGAGCTACAACCTCGTTTCTCAAGATCTTTAAATTATGGAAAAAACACCAAAAACTGACAATTCAGTACCCAAAAAAAATACGTTTAGAAACAAAGACAGGAGTGGCCCAAATTTACATTTGAGGATTGGCAGAGAACACAGGGATGTTTAGGGGCCAGTGTGTCTCCAGGTAGACATGCTTGACTGAGACACTATAAGCAGCAAAGTTGTGATTATTGTGTTTTAAATAGTATTTATTAAGCTGCCACTTCTTTTATAAAAACAAGATGGATGAGAGCTTGCATTATCAATGTCGGACTCTGTCCCTAGTACCTTACACATCTTCTCTCGCCCCCTTCTCCCACCCCTCCGGGAGGCAGTTAGCTGATTAGGGTTGCTATAGCCCATTTTGTAGATGAGAAAACTGAGACTTGGAAGTGCAGGCAATGTGGCTGAGAAGCAGCAGCCAGTTTGGGCTGCAGACAGCCATCTGTAGCTTGCTCTTCACTGCTTTCCTGTGCTGTTTTCATGAAAATCAAATCGAAGATTAAACATAGCAAAAACTAGCAGAAAATCAAGACTTTCTTAGACATGCAAAAGCTGGACCAATTCATCCCCCACACAGCAGAAGGAACACCCACTGAGAATCAGTACCTACACCGTGGAATTGACTCCGCAAGTGCTAACTACTGTATGTTTTCTTATTATTTAAATATCCTTTAAAGGTAACTGACTTTTTGAATGAAAAGAACAGCAACGCGTTCTGGGGTTTGTGATACAGGAGAGAGAGAGACGCACAGCAAAGCAGGAGGAGAGAAGCAGATGTATGCTCCCAGAAGGCCCTCGTGCCCCAAGGAGGGTGGTTTTGATCGGGTGAGGACACCGCTGCTAGTTAAAGATGTATCACAGGGTGCTGAGGGTGTTTACATGCCAGCATTGGGCAGAAATACTCCTAAGATACACAGGTTTATGTGTGAAGAGGGAACAAACACTTCAAACCGAAAACAAGTACCGACATCGTATTCCCAAGCCTAGCGAGTCATACTGACACGTTCCTGCCAGCTTGCGCCGCTGTGGTAGGCGCATGACTGTCCCCTCGGACGGCTTTTTATTAGTTTTCTCACTGGTAGTGAAAAGACCAATGAGAGGGGTGAGATCTGCTTGTACCGACAGCGGTACAAGCTGCTGTGTGACGGGCCTGTCGGGACCGTGTTAAATGTCAAAGGTGAGCGGGCCGCTAGGACGATCCTTCCTCACCCAGAGTCCCTGCCACCGTCTTGGTTTTCCTGCCTGGGACAGCGCTGCGCACAGGGATTCCGAGGAGTGAAGACCTCCGCCTGGCTCCTCAGAGCCCTCCGCATGGGGCCCTGCTAGGGTGTGTCACAGGTGTGACAGTGCAGACGGCTGAGCACCTGCCGTTCTCACACCTCCACGCTGTGCTGGGACTGCTGGCTGGGGCCCCACTTTGAAAACCGTCTCTATCTTCCCAGCGGCGGATCACAGATGCACTGTGTCAGCGGGAGAGGAGCAGGCCAGCTGCGTCCAGGTCATGGGTGTGAGTGGGTGCTCTAGCTTGGAGCTGAAACGTGCCCCAAAAACAAGTGGGGCAGGCTGGGTCCCTGCTTGCTGCTGTTGGGAGTACAGGGACCTGAAGAGGTGGCCCCACAGGGAGGACTCCAATCACTGGGTGGAGGAGGGGAAGTGAATAAGGGCACCCAGCCCCACCCTTCTCTCACTTCTGTTTCCCAGCCCTGAGGTGGCCTGTTTGCCCTGTGGCCCTCTCCAGCTGTGCCAAGCCACCAGGTGCCCGAAGCAATGGAGTCAGCTGGTCATGAGCTGAAACCTTGACACTATAAGCGAAGTAAACCTTTTCTCTTTATAAGTTCATTATCTCAGGACTTTTTGTAACAGTACCACAAAGCTGACTGACACAAGGCTGTGAGTTCCTCCTGCCCCACATCCTGAGGGTCACAGCCCAGCAAGAGAGAGGCTTGGGAGGGCAGGGAGGGAAACGGGAACAGGGAGTCTGTGGACCTGGAGGGACGGCTGGGGGTTCTCACTGGTCTCTGATGGTCAACACTGCTATTAATATCACTGCAAATCTGTTGACCGTTACCCAGAAAATGAGATAATGTGAAACAGGCTGGTAGGCCTGGTAACTACCATAAATAGTGTACTTCCTTCGGGTCTGACGTTAGGGCATTTCTTCCTCTCAATAGCCACGAACTCATCTTATACAAGGAAAACCAGGCTGCTGAGTGGGGAAAGAACGTCCCAAGGTCAAAAGGGGCGGTGTTGGGACCAAAGTTGGCAGGGACACGTTCCGGAGCCCATGTTCCCTTCCCGCCAAAACTAGATCCTCACGGCAGGAAATGGGGCACCATGGGGGTTCCCTGGGGAGGAGATGTCACGGGGAGGCCTCGTAGGGTTTGTGACTGGATAATGATCCCCGGTGGACAGGACCAGCACTGTGCTCCTGGACCTGGGATCCAGCCAGTTCCCACACGAGCCTGTCGGCATCTCCCCTGCTTTCCGAGATGGCAGCACAGCCACACCGGGCCGAGGGGAAGTCTCCATTCCACTGCATGCTGTCCAAGCAGAGCGAGCGCAGAAGGACGGAGAAGCCGCCGCCTCAGGAAAGCCACGCCCACCTCCTCTCTGGCCTTCCCCACTGTACGCCTAGGACGGACACTGCTCCTGTCCGCATGGACAGCAACTTACCATGGCCGGGGCTTTCTCTCCCCTGGGGTTGGGTTTTCCAGCCATACTGCGTTCTTTTGTTTTCCTTGAAGAACGACCTGTCTTCTTCCTGCTTCTCCTCTTGCTCTCGTGCTTAAGGAAAGATGGCACCCAGCACATGAGCGCGGTCTGGAAGCCCTGAGGTGGCTGCTGGCCAGAGCTCAGAGCTCACCCACACACAGCCCTCCAGCTGCCCCTCTTTGCACCCCAACCCCAGGTATGTGTCCAGGGCAGCATCGCCCTCCTTGCTCCAGCTGGAAAGGGGCAGTGGGATGCGCTCCTTGGAAATTACAAGGGGGGATCCATGGATTTTGGCAATCTAGAAATTTCTTCCCAAAATACCTCCCCCACCCCACTGGCCAATGGGAAGAGCTGGTGTTCTCAGGGGTCCCCCACTCCACGGCGAGGACCCTTTCTTCTGCCTCTCTGCAGCACTGGTCTCCAGGGCTACCACTGCCTCAAGCGCATTCCAAGGCTGGCACCCATGGGCCAGACGGGACATGGGGAGTCTACTGCCTTCCTTGTTTGCTTCATAAAATGAGATCTGTGCTGTGGTTTACGTCTGAAATGCCCCTCAAGGCTCATGAGTTGAAAGCTTTGCCCAGCATTAATGGGGTGGTGAGGGTGGCGGAGGCAGGTCACCGCAGGCATGCCCCTGGGGGTTCTGGTGCCCCAGCCCCTTCTTCTGTGTCACAGGGCACAGGGTGGACAGCTCTGAGTCCTTCGAGTTCCGTTTCTCGGGTGTGTGGTCGTGGGAGTGCAGCCCACATGCCCATAAAGCCAAGTCCCGGGGACTGTGTCGTCTATGCCTCTGCCTCATCCCTGACACCCAGGTGTGCCCGCAGGTGCCGCCTGTCTCTGTGCATTCACTCTACACACTGGGCACCAGGGTGCCGGGTCATAGCCACTTGTTGGTCCTGGGGGAGTCGAGCAGAGTGACCCTGACCCCACCCCACATTGTTCCGCAGTTGTCCCCCCATACCCTGGGCTTGCAGAGGAGCTGCAGGGGTGCCAGCCCTTCTAGCTGGCTCTCCTCCCCTCCCAGCTGCAGAACCCACGGGCACAGGCCAAGGGGTGTCCGCCAGATTCCCACAGGCTCCCCCAGAGTCAGAGTTGGAGAGGGCCATGCCCGGGGGCTCCCTCGCTCCGCCCACGCTGGCTCCTGCTGCCCTCTGGGCAGGTGGGGGCGGCACTCCCTCCACCCAGATTTCAGCAGTGGGCATTTCCTGTGGATCTGGGGCCTCCTACAGCAGCCCTGGGCACAGGTGCCTGGGCAGCCTGGGCGGGCACCGAGGGTCCCTCAGAGACCCCAAGCAGGAGCAGGGGGGAAGTGGCTCCAGCCCCTTCCTCCTCAGGACCCACAGAGAGGCCTCCCGCCAGGCAGGTGCAGCAAGGCCACGGATGCTGGGCGTCGGCCCTTGGCACGCTGGCTCCCTCCAGGGGCAGAAGTGTGTCTGGGAATTCCGCCCTTCCTCTGACAGGTCCCGGCTTCCAGGACCCAGTGGCTTTTAAATGTTCCTGGGCGAGAAGGAGGAGCCCCTGGGGGTTTGAGCACATTCGCATCCTGCCCTGGCTGGCAGACTTGGGGGAGGGGAAGAAGGGCAGGAAGCCCTGGCAGCTGAGTCCCCAGGCGGGAAGGTGACACCTTCAGATCTTCCAGGGTTCCTTCCAGTAACTCGCGCAGGGCTCGGGGCGGCTGAGCACCTTAACACCGGCAATCCTGCTTCCTAGGAAAAGCTCCGTTCCCAGGGATCAGACAATTCCAAGATCCCACCTGGGCAGCTCGTGGTCCCCGGGTGGGGGGCAGGTTTCAGCAGCACCCGAGCTCCCTCCACCCCACCCTCACCCATGTCACCTTGGGTACTTGAATGGCACCTGAAGGCCGAGTCCTCCCCAGCCCCCAGGTCTCCCGGGAGTCTCCTGTCCCAAGGCAGGAGGACAGTAAACTGGGCATTTCTGCCATGCCCCGCACCGCCCGCCCTCCCTAGGGACCCTGCCTGTCCCCCAGTCTTCTCTGCTCCAGCTGCCCAGGTCCCGATGCTACCTCAGCAGCCAACACGGAGCACAGGGCAGTTGGGGGGGGGGGTCTGTGTTGGAGGCTCAGCGGCAGCAAGGGATTGGAAGCTCACTACATGCCCCCACCCCAGTCCCTGAGGACCCCCAGCCCTGACCCCTGCCCTCCTGCAGCAGGAAGGCCCAGCTGGGGGCTGCTCCCGAAGCCCACCATGAGGCTGGGCAGCGCGGGACAGGACTCAAAGGGGGTCTGCTCCCAAGGGGCGTCGCCTGCATCCCCACTGCTCTCGCTATTACACCCAGAGGCACCAGCACCCCAGCCCCAGGCACTGCCCATGACCACCCCCTCTCCCGGAGGGTCCCCTAGCCTGTCCTCGAGACCTCAGGGAGTAACACTCACCAGTCTCAGAGCAGTGCCGGACAAGACGCTCAGGACAAGGATCTCAGGCTTATGCAAAGCCGGCCCCACTGACCCTAACCCTGGGAAGCCCCGCACCCTGTGACCACAGCGGGAGGAGGGGCCTGAGAAGAAACAAAACCGAAACTGATCGGCCGCCTGCGTCCTGAGAGGGCTGCGCCTGGGGAGGTCCGAGGCCCTTCAGGGCTGCAAGGGGCTGCACGCTCTCCCCTTAGCTTAAGTTCGGTCCTCAGGACAGCCCCCAAGTCTGCAGGGACGGGGGAGTGGCTTCCCCAGCAGAGCCACCCAGCTGGGCGGGGCCAGGGAGCCTAGGGAGCTGGAGAGCCAAGTGACCAAGTTCCAGGGCTCAGGAAGCAGGGCTAGAGGCCCAGAGTGGCCCGGTCCTGTGCTGAGCACCGCCCATTCCTGGAATCCGGCATCCCCCGGCCAGGCCAAGTGGGGAAGCCACGCACCCCCAGGAGCTCCCCTGAGCCCCTGCCCAGCCCTCTGGGGCCCTCACCTGCCAGTGCGGAACGGGAATGACACCTGTCCCGGGCTGCAAGCTCAGGGGCCAAGGCTTTCTGCAGAGGACAGAGCTGCTGCCCTGCGGGCCAAGGGCGAGCCTGCAGCTCACACTGGGCCAAGACAGGCTTTTCCCACCAGAGGGCTCTTTCCAGGACAGGATCCAGAAAGCCCAGGCCACATGAGACCCAGGAGTCACAGCCCTCGCGAGGCCTGGGAGGGCAGGCAGGGAGGTCCCCAGGGTACAGATTTGCTGGTGTTGATCCCCCTGGGTTGGTCCAGGCGCCTCCTTCAAGGTTACACCGGGAGCGTCACCTGCCTGGACATCCCTCCCTCCCCGCCCCACCCCACCCCACCCCCGATTTTGGGACCTGATCCCTTCTAATAGCCACCCGGTCTGACAGCGCCCTGAGGGACACAGGCTGATTTTCGGGTGTTACTGTGTTAACATTAGAACAACGGATAATATTCACATCCTCTGCAGAAATGGACAACAAACATCACCTCGCTGAGAGCAGCAATTTTAATTTGGAACAAGCCCTTACTTCAAGTCGTGGTCAATGGCAGCAGAGAGCAATCTTACCCTTATTGCAATGCCAGGACTTATAACCCTGCATCATGCAAGCCTACACCTCATTGTCGTGTACGTACACACAAGGGCACCACAGCAAACGAGGAACAGGTTTCACCTACTGTAGTGGATTGATAACTGGTGGTCAACTTATAACCCCCAGCTGAACTGACTAAGGGTGGTGCTGGGTGTGGGAGCCCACCTGGGGACTGTTGCCAGCAGAATAAAGGCAGACCTGGAGAAGAAGGAGGAGGCTGTGGGGAGCTGGCTTTCCTGATGAACTTGGCTGTTTTCATCCTCCAAGGAGCTCGGGACTTCAATGTTGCCGAGAAAGGCTGTAGTACCTTTTGGGGGAGCTCTGGTTCTTCTGAGCATCGCTTCCTGGCTCCAGTGCAGATCCCTCAGCCTGCTAGCACAGGTCGTTCATCCCACTGGCACAGATTTTGTAGACTCCACCACTGACCTTTGGGTCTTCCCAGCAGATCCGTGAAGTAGACCGGCATGAGACGTTGTCACAGGCTCTGGGCCTCCAGTTGGATTCGTGGGAGGCATTGTTATGAGCTGGACTCATGTAGGACACTGTTGTGGGATCCAGGCTCTGGATTCCTTGGTCTTAGTGTGTGGACAGATTTCCTGTACTCTTTTGTATACTGTTCTTTGGGTGACTATTATAAATAATCATATGAAGTATGTGTCCTGTATTATATTGTTCCCCTTGCAAAATAAGCCCCAAACCAACACACCTACTCAAAAGCCTCACCAACGGGAGAGCCAGCCACTCCCACGGTGGTGAGAGGGCACGCCCCACCCCTGCCACAGCACACACTCATGCCTCACTTGTGTCTGGCAGTGAGTACTGCTTTGCTTAACCTAAGAAAAGGAAGTGGAGCACCATGAGACTGCAAACCATCTCTGCCCTTGAACCGAGATCAGCCCTGTGGTCTGTTCCTACTCTGCATGGACAACGCCCAACATTCAGCACTTCCTGCAGTGGGACGCCCAAGGTGCCCAAGCACTGCCACCACTCCCCTTCCAGAGCTGCCATCTCCCCCGAGGGCCTGTTAGAGACCCACACCACACAGCAGGTGGCTCTGAACAGGTGGCACAGCGCTAACACCACTGCCTCGGAGCTGCCCCAGATCCAGAGCCGCCCTCACACGGCCACCTAGAAACTATCCAAAAGCCACAGTGAAATATGGGCAGGCTAGTGAGGTCCCTCACAAGACCACTGTTAAGAGATAAACATCCCCTGTGAGTGCACAGGGGTCATAGATCGATCTGACACACTCCCTAGAGCAGTGGATCAACACAGCTTGCTTACAGGATCACCCTAAGTTTGAGCTTCTGTACTCTCTCAATCAGAGCTTTAGGGATACTGTTCCAGAGACTGATCCATTACCACAGCCTTGGAACTTTCCTGGTTCCATTGTTAGAGCTGCTTCAACAAGTGCAGGTTACAGCCAACTTCACTGCACATACAAATCCCTTTCATAAGCTTCACCTCTGGCAAACCTTCTGCAACTTGTTTGAACCTTCTGGCAGCAAATGTTAGGTTGATTTAAGACCTACAGGTCACCGATCAAGCAGAAAGATTTAACAGTATGACAAGTACAGCAGCACATCAGGGGGTCTGAGAGAGTCAGGAGAGCAGCTTTTGCATCTGGGGGAGAGGGTGGAGCTTGGGTGGGGAACAGAGTGACGCACGGCATGAGGTCTGAGCTAGGCATCATGGTGGACCTGAAGACAAGTTATGGAACCCACAGACTTTTGCCCGCTTGGGCCTCAGACTTCATAAGCTCAGAATGCACGATTTGAGCCCAGTCTACCTGGGCTCCTCCTAACTTTATCTCCCTGGGTATCTCTGCCCACAGACACCTGGTCTGAGACTAACTGGTAAACGTGGGGGGCAAGGAAGAGTGCTGGCTGGGATCTTAGGAGTAGGGGCCTCATCCCAATAAAGACACACTGCATTGGGTCCATGGTGACAGCATTCCCCCCACTGAGGTCACCCTGAAATTACCTGAATGGAATTACCTATGTCACAGATGAGCCACTGCAGAGATACTCAGGTTAAAAAAGTAGGGCTGGGGATTTAGCTCAGCGGGGCTGGGGATTTAGCTCAGCGGCAAAAGCGCCTGCCTGGCAAGCGCAAGGTTGTGAGTTCGGTTCCCGGTACCGGAAAAAAACCAAAAAAAAAAAAAAAGTAATCAATACTATAAGACTTTGATTCCCAAACTATGTGGTGAGATACTCCAACACACTTTGACAAGATCATAGAATCATATGGGACATTTGTCCGGGATACACAGACATCTTTTGGGTACCATCCTACCTACTATTACTGAGCTCTTGGACCTACCTAATGAATAGATCGTCTAGTACTTCTTTGTGGCAGGCAGCACCATGGATGAGTTACTGAATGAATTACTGAATTCGCAGTCAGGGCACTGAATGAAAGGTCTGGGGAGCTCTCCTGTAAGGGCAAAGGTGTAAATGCAAGGGTGTATGGAATGGTTGATTGACCATGTCAATTTGAGAAGTTTAGAAGCTTAACTAAATCAGCTCAGCAATTCTGCACCTCAGGGTGTAGAACTGGATGGTATAAAGGGGAAATGAGGAAAGATGGATTGGCTTCTATTTTTCAGAGAAGCTCCAGTCTTTGCTCATACCTTGGACGTCACCTCCTGGCTTCCAGCACAGACTCTTCAGCTTCCACCTTGAATCCTTCAGCCTTCTGGTGTAGACTCTTTAGCCTTCCGTCTCAGACTCATCAGCCTCCTAATACAGACTTGCACGGGACGCTGCAGTGAACTCCAGGCCTTGGACTGAATCCTTCGGCCTCCAATGCGCAGACACTCTCTGCACACTTCCTCATCCATCTCTATGGCTGTCATAAGCCAGTCTTGTACTTTCTTACATATTTGTGTATCTTGTGTTACATCTACTTCTCTAGTAAACCCTGACTGATAACAGAAATCGGTACCAGGAGTGGGGCCATTGTTATGCTTCTGCCAGGCCATGTGGCTTAAGAGCCTTGGGGATCAATTTGGAAAGGTTTTGAGAGACTGGCCTAGAGGCAGCCCCTGAATACTGTAAACTAAATGTGAGATTCTGGCCAAAGCCTGGAAAACCATGGTACTGGTGGAAATGCTGCTGGTTAGGATGAGGCTCAGAGGCTTATGTTAAGGAGGACTGGGTTGACTGCTGGACTGCAGGTAGTATATGTTGTGCTTTGGCAGGAAGTTGGTCTGCATTTTGCTTGCATTTAGAGATGTTCCCTGGGTGGCAGAAAAATTTCAATGCAATATAGAGTTGGGATGGTGGCATGGATACTGTTGTGGGCTTTGGGCCAGATCTACCTTAGAAATTAAGGGAGCCAGCAGGATGATTTGAAACATTTGGCCAAAGAGGAGACCCCAGTGGGGCTGTGGATTTCAAGGAGGAAAGGAGGAGAATGTGGTTGTTGAGAACAGGACAATGGAAAAGCATCTGAGGCCTTTCACCAGGAGGAAATAGTTTGTTTGAAAGGCAGAAGATCCCTTGGGGCATCTCTTAGTGTTGTCACGCCCTGTTGTTAAAAGTTAATGGGAAGCAAGGATTATGATGGTAAAGCTCTCTCAATATGACTTGAATGTTGTTTTCAGACTCGTTTGTTTGTAATCAGGTTATTTAGTCAGGGTATTGTGGTTTTACCATTGAACTTTCAGAACCCTTTGAGAATTTGTTTTTTGTATGGAGATGAGTGCAATAAGAATTGTATATACGTAATTGTTATATTAATACAAATCTGAATAGATCAGGACATGTTAACTTTTCACAAATCTGCCACTGGAGACTATGTTTAAGGAAATGTGTCCAGTTATCAAGTTGACCAGGGGTGGACTGTGGTGAATTAACTAGTGGTCAGCTTGTAACACCCAGGTGAACTGAATCAGTGTGGTTCTGGGTGTGTAAGGGCCACCTGAGGATTGTTGCCAACAGCATAGAAGAACTGGAGGGAAAGATAGTGTGCTGTTGATTCCCCTGGAGAAGCTTGTCACGCTGGTTTTCCTGATGGGAACTCAGCTGTTATCATCGGAGGAGCATGGGTCCTCGCTGTGGCGGACGGCTGCAGTTTTCTCTGAGGGAGCTCTGGTTCTTACTTTGAGCATCGCTTCCTGGCTCCAGTGCAGATCCCTCAGCCTGACAGCACAGATCCTTCACCCCACTGGCACAGACTTTCTAGCTTCCACCACTGACCTTTGGGCCTTCCCAGTGGAGATCCTTGATACAGTCTTGCATGAGACATTGTTGTGGGCTCTAGATCTTAAGCTGGACTCATGCAGGGCACTGCTGTGGAATCCAGACCTTCAGCTGGATTCTTTGGGTCCCTAGTGCATGCACAGATTTCTTGTACTCTTCTGCATTTGACTTTGGGGGTGAATATTATAAAATAATCCTATACACTAACCCTTACAAACCCTGACTACAACAGTGTATGTGTATGCAGAAGCTAGCAAAAGTGACCGCAAGCCCAGCCTGAATAAGAAGTGGGAGGACTGGGGGGATGGATGGACGGATGGATGGATGGATGGATGGAGGATGGAGGATGAGGGATAGATGGGGTGACAGATGGGGATGGAAGATGAATGGATGGAGAATAGGAGATAGATGGGGAATAGATGGGTGGATAGATGGGGGATGGAAAAGGGAATAGGTGAATGGATAGAAGGATGAATAGATGGATGTACAGGTGGGTGGGAAGATGGATGGGTGGATGGAGGAAGGGGGGAAGATGAATGGATAGATGTGAGGATGGATGGATGGACAGATGCAGATGGGAGATAGATGATATATGGATTGATGAATGGATGGGGCAGTAAGTGAATGGATAGAGGACGTACGGATGGACAGATGGATGGCTGGAGAAATGGATGAATGGGGAGTGGATGGATGGGGGAGGGCTGGACAGGGGATGGTGGGAAGGCAGCCTTCCTAGGGGATCAAACTTGTCTCCCCATACTTTTCATGACCTCCAGAGGGCACACGGTACTATGCCCATCTCATACTGGGGATTGAACCCAAGATCTTTGCACTGAGCTGCATCCTCAATGCTTGTCATGTTTTAATTTTGAGTTAGGGTCGCAGTAAACTGCTAAGATGCCCAGGCTGGGCTTGAACTTGCGATCCTCCTACCTCAGCCTCCCAAAGTGCTGGAATTACAGGCGTTGCCACCATACATCTCTTTGACATTGAAACCAAGCATGAGGGTGTCTTCATTGATTACAAGGAGTTGGTAGTACACAGCTCTCTGAGGAAGAATGTTTTCCCTCATTACCATGAGTTCGGCCATCAGCAAGAAGGCCTTACGGCAATTACTGCCCTCAACCGATCCATTATGTAATACACAACGAACTGGTGACAGCAATAGCCTGAGGAAAGGATTACCTTTGCTTTTGAAATCTGCAAGAACTGGAAAACATCCCATAACTAGGCGCTGAGTTGAGCGCCCATCATTCAGCTGTGACAAGCTGTTCACGACTGCAAACACCCGTCCACTGCTCCAGGAACCACCCGAGATCAGCTTTCCTGGAAAGGCAGTGTTTGCAACAAGCATCCCCCAGGCTTCTCTAGTCAGCTTTCAGTGTAAACCAGGCCCCTGCCTCCACACTCGCCTCTCCTCTTACTGGCCAGCACGGGGCAAGCGGGCTCTGGGGCCGCTCTGGGAGATATCTGCTTATCAGAAGCACGCTTGAAGTGTGGTCCTATCCCAGGTGACTCGGCCTCATAACGTCCAGATGACCCCTCAAAAGTCCCCAAATAGGTCTGTGAAATGCAGGAGACCGCCCACGGGTGGGCCTGCTCCTCCTCTACATAAGCAATGCTCCCCCGTATCTGTGGGTTGGTCCAGGGGGGCTCCTCCTCTGCGTGACCCTCTGTGCTACAGCGCAGCTCCCAGCATGCCTCACTCACGCGGTCCTGTTTCCTGCTCGGGACTCCTGTCTTGGGCAGTGTGGCCATTGGCGGGAGCCGAGTTTGCCCTGTGTTACAGGCTGGACAGTGCGGTTTTCAGTGACCGCCTCGTCACGTGCCAGGCTGAGAATCTGACCGTCGGGGTGAGATGGCAAAGAGACAGAGACGCCACAGGAAGACTGAGATGCCACACTGTGAGCCCATTACAGTCACCTCTCAGACAGCTGCAGGCCCAAGCAGCGTCGGGTCTTTAACACGACCGGCTTTCAGGTCCCCTAGAAGTAAGCTGGGCGAGTTCCCCTAAGCCACGCGTCTGAGTGTCCTCTAGGCAGAGAGGGAAACTGAACATGCACCACCCAGCAGTGCGACACAGACCTGGGGCTTTCTGTCGACTAAGGGTGGAGGCGGCCGGGGGGGTGTGCAGGCTTCTTCCTGGGTACCAGTTCCCCATTCCATGCACACCTTCTGCTCCTGTTTGATCAGGATCTCACCCTGGGTCTGCAGAAGCACGCCACACCGCAAAGGGAACTGACAGTCCCCTGCCCCAAAGGGCTTTTGTCACCCCAGCCTTCTGCCTCACCGCAGAGATCTGGCACAGGGCCGCTCTGTCTGCTAGGGGGTTCCAAGCTCGATAAAAACTGACCATGCAGCCGAGATGCCCCCTCCGTCCCAAGCAGTGCAACCTGCAGGGCCAGCAGAGGCTGGGTACGGGGCTGCTGGGAACAGGGTGAACCCCAAAGCCAGACTCGCGGACCTCACCTGCAGCTCAGTGGCCCAGCTGTGCCCCCTCACAAGAGGCTCACATCAGCAGTTCGGGAAGTTTGTTACTGTACGGCTCTGGGACTCAGGGTGCCATGTGCCCCTATGCTGCTACGGGAGTCCTGCCAGCAAAATCACCCAGAGCCCGGCAGCTGCCCCTGCTCCCTTGTGCTAAGAGGGAGTGGCAGAGGCGGAGTGGCAGCAGCGCTGGTAACAAAGACTCAGCTTCGCCGCTGCCCACTAGGGGAGGAGTCTCAGCCAACTCGGGGCAGCGCCCTTCGCCCCGACGCTGGCCACCCACCGGGCTGCATCCTGGATGGAAGCATCTCCCAGTGTCCGGGCGGCAGACTGCCTTCCTGAGACCCCGCCAGCCTCAGCCAGCTCCGCCCTTCGCCAGCTAGCTGCAGTGGGGGCCAGGCCAAGAGGCAAGGGCACCCAGATGGAGCCAAAGAAGGAGTCCGCAGCCCACAGGGGGCGCTCAAGAGCATGGCAGGAGCCGACCAGGACGCTGCCCATCCCTCTCCACCGCTTCTCGGGGCCCCAGGACAGGAGAGCTGGGCGAGGTGGCTGGGACAGCGGGCGGGGCACACGGCGGAGCTGTCGGGCCACCCTGGGGCAGCCTCAGATATGTGTGATGCCGTCCCGTGCTTCGGCTTCACACAGCCAGCAGCAGTCTGTCGGCTGACACCAAGCTTCAAATCCTTGTCAAATACGGACCACTGGGCCTAGAGGGTTCTCAGCCACTCCAGCTGCCTTGTCCACACAAACACATTTATTGAGGGCCGCGCAGCGCTAGCTTGGCTCCCTGGGAATGCAGCCCTCGATCTGGATCTCTGCGGGCCAGCCGGAGTACCTGTTCTTGGAACTGTCGGAGTGGTTGATCTGCACGAGGGAGAAGAAAGAGCTTTATTACTCAGTAAGCCAGTGGGTAGGTACTTAACCTGGGTGAGCCGTGGGCAAAGTGACACGGACAGAGCCACTTCCTGGAGCCCACTGGCCCGAGTGCGGCAGCTGACTTCCTCCCAACATGACTCTTAAGGACGTCCCAATGGGGCCTCAGATGTCCTGTGACGCAGATGTTCTACATGCTGTCCTGCCGGCCATGTGGCCACCAGCCACACTTAGCTAAGAAATGTGGCTCAGTGGGCCAGAGGTATAATTCTACTTAATTGTAATAAATTAAAACGTAATTGCAAATTTAGCTGCTGGTAGCCACCACGTCGGAAAACATAGCTGTGGCGTTCAGTTTTCAGCTCTGGGAGCAGGGATGTATTTTTTTCTCTTTCAGTCTTTAGAAACTGTGGCTTGCACCAGTTCAGGTTTGCAGTACACCAGGCACTCCTCATGTGCAGCTGGAATAGGCACGCAAACATGCCTTCGATCTCTCTGCATCCCCTCCCTCTCCCCAGCCCGTATTATTCCAAGTACTTTAGAGTTGTCACCCAGATGCGTGTGTTCACACGTGAGGTGCCATTAGCCCTTTACAGATTCAACTCCGCCAGACGCCGGGGCCCCTCACCGAGCGCTTGGGTGAAACAGTGTGCGTTCCCCTCTGGGAGTTTAGCGCCACGCCCCCCTTAGAACAGAACGTGACTGGGGTATGAGTCACAAACTGTGAAAGTCACCCTTAAAGCCAGGTGTGGTGCTGCACGCACTTGATGCCAGCACTCTGGGAGGCCGAGGCAGGAGGATCACAAGTTCAAGCCAGCCTGGTCAGTTTAGCAAAATTCTGTCTCAAGATGAAAACTTACAGAAGGGCTGGGTGTGTGGCGCAGTGTGAGGGCTCTGGCCTCAGTCCCCGACACCACAGGGCTGTCGTATCCTGGCAAGATGTGCAGGTAACGCTCTGGTCAGTCACGAAGCCCTGCCTCCCGTGAGGAGGACCACAGAGCTCCAGCGCCGCCCTGCCCCTCTCCTAGCCCACCGCTTGCACTGCAGAGCTCGCTTGACTCCTACCACACACTGACTGCGCTTGGCTCCCATCACTGGCACGTTGTCTTCAGATTCGTCCCAGGGCTGGCGAGGACGGGGCCTGCGGCTGCTAGACGGAGGAAGGCCGCCCCACGGCACAGCCAAGCCGCGCTTTAGCCCACACTGGGCTCGGCGGCTGCTGATGCTACTTCCGCGCGGGGTCGCTCTGCACCACAATGCTCTGCCGCCCTGAGCCCAGGGCCAAGGGGAAGGTGGCCCGCTGTCTCCAGCGGGGCCCACGGGGTGCCTGCCGGGTCCCCTGGTAACTGCTCCAACTGTGAGGAGCTGCTGGAAGTGCCATCTCCGTGCGTTTCTTCCGAAGCACAGAGCAGGTGAAAAGTTTCCCTCCTGTGAGGACAGGGCAAGGCGGCCTCTCCTTGTGATTCTCATTTGCACCTCTCCACGTGCTCACTGCCTGGCGCATCTCCTCTGAAGAAACGTGTATTCCAGCCCTGTGTCCACTGTAAGAGTGTGCTCACTTCATGGTCAATTTGTGGGAGTTCTGTACACGGCGCATAATTGTAATCCCAGCACTGGGGAGGCTGAGGCAGGAGTGTCACCATGAGTTCAAGGCCAGCCTGGGCTACACACTGAGTTCAAGGCTGGCCTGAACTACACAGTGAGACCCTGCCTCAAAAAGAAAACAAAACGAAAGGGCAAGGAAGGCAAGGGGAGGGAAAGGGAGGGGAGGGGAGGGCAGAGTTCTGTATGTATTCTGGACCTGGGTCTGTTATTTCCAAATATCCACTCCCACGCCGCGGGCTCTCTTCGTTTTACTTTACAGTGTTCTCTGCAGCAGAAAAGGCTTTAATGCTGATGACCGCCAGTTTATCTACTTCCCCTCTGTCATCAGCGGCTCCATCTTTAAGAAATCACTGCCTGATCCACAGTCACAGAGATTTACGCCGCCTTCAGCCACGTGGGTCCAGGCAGCAGTGGTCGGCGCTCCCGCCGGGTCTCTGCAGCATAGCATCTGACTCCACGGCAGGTGACGAGCTGCGCGGCAGGGCCCCGGAAACCGCCCTTCCTGGCTTGTGGCACAGTGGACACTGGGCCAGGACAGCCGCAGTCCCAAGCCCAGAGCTCGAGGACACAGGGTCTCTCAGAAGGTCACAGGCCCCACATCGCCCAGCCCTCGTCTTCTGCCTCAGTGGGCTGAATCAGAAGTGACCCCAGGGGGCTAGCTCCGTGGCCACACAGCCCACTTCCTGCTCCTGAACCAGCTCTCTTCCACCAGGCCAAGAGAGGCTGCCGCGACAACCCCGGAGGCGTCCGCTTTGAGCTCGCTGGACCTCACGGTCACTTGGGGCTCACACGGTAGGACTTTGTTCTTTTGTGCTTTACTTTCACAAATAATGGGAGGGGGCACAATCGATCACAGGGCAAGTCACTGCAACAGCACCACGAGCCAGGTGTCTGTGATCCCAGCCCTGAGGAAGCTGAGGCAGGAGGATCCCCAAGAGTCTGAGGCCAGCATGGGCTACGCAGTGGGTTCCAGGCCAGCCTAGTGAGTTTGTAGCGAGACTCTGCCTCAAAAAAGAGAAACAAGCAATCAAAAGACCCCATGATGGTGAAGCTGCATCGGTCTGATCACCGAATGTTTCTTCGGCGCCTGTGCTCTTCCGAGGCCTTTGGTGCGCGGCCTCTGCCACCCCGAGTGGAGGCCGTCCCTGTCCCCAGAGCAGAGGCAGTGGGACCCTGACCTCTGTGTGAGGGGAGACGCCAGGGCGGGCGGCAGCGGGCGCGGGTGGGGAAACCAACTCCAAGCCCTCACTTTCCAGCAGATGTGAGAAGTGGGACTCCGCAGCCCTAGCGGGCCTGGCTTTCCAAAGCCCTGCGCCACCCGGGGACCTACAGAGAGGGTGACGGCCGCTCAGGAGGGACCCTGGTCGCGCTCACCTTCTCCCTCGGGAGTCCCGCGGGCAGCTCGAAGCCGGTGGCCGCCAGGAACACCCAGCTGGACCTGAACTTCATGTTCCGGATCTCTCTGCTTCCCAGCGCCTCGATGGCGTTCTTGGCGTCAGCCTTCAGTCTGGGGGCGAAGAGGCGGTGTGAGGCCGGCCCCAGACAACGCGCACCGGGCAGGACCCTCGGCCCTGCTGTGTCCCGCCGCTGCCCTTGGATGGGCACCGGACGGCAGCTGAACAGACAGGCGTGCTGGGGGGCACCTCACGTTTCCGCTAACGGCGGATCCTGTCCAGAGCCGCTTCGGCCTCAGTGTGTTTATAGTCCTGGGGACTGAACCTGCGGCCTCTGCACCGAGCTACATCTCCACCCCTTTTACTTTGAGACAAGGTCTTGTTAAGTCACTCAGTTACCCAGGCTGGGCTTAAACCTGCCTGCCTCAGCCTCCAGAGTGCTGGAATGACAGGCCTGCACACCACATCCAGCTAGGCCTCTATGTGGGGCACAGAATCTTCACTCGTGATTCTGAAAGGCCCTCGTGTTCAGGCGCAACCCCAGCCTCACACTCAGCCAGCGCCAGTCAGCCATCCTTCCTGCCCCACGCCTGCCGACCCCGAGCTAAAGCGGGCAGAAGCCGTGGGTGACGAAAGCGAAGGTCAGAGGGCCTCTTGCCGATGGTCAGCAAAGTGAGTGTGCAGGGAGAAAAATCCTGGAGGAATCTGAGGTCAGACACGTTCGGGAGGTGCTGGGGTCCGGAGGGGTGTGTGTGCGCCTTCTGAAATGCCCTCTACCTCCTCTCCCCTTCCTGCAAGTCCCCTCCCACTACCCCGGGGCTGGTCTTCCTGTGTGGAGGAGCCGAGCCGCGTCCGCCCTGTGTCTGCTGACTGCAGCTCGGGGGCCCGAGCCCCGGCACGCTCTAGTTGGCACTCTGCTGTGACACGCCTGCTCTGCGTGGTCACCGCCGCCGTTCCTCTGCCTGGAAGAAGCCGCTGCCCACGGACCTCCCGTGCTCCCCGAGGATGAGTGTCAGGGACCCCACAGCGGTTCTGTCCCCTCTCACCTGGTGCTCCCGTCGTCGTGGGTCACCATGAGCAGAAGGGACTTCGCGGGTGCGCTCTGAATGAACTGGGTCATGGGTGTGGAGTTATCTGCAGGGTCACCTGCAGGCGGTTAGGGTCCTTGCCAGCCACGGGGGCCCTGCCCTGGCCGGGGCTCCCTCCCGCCTCAGCCTCCTTATACACTCCAACCCCTGGCCACCACAGCTGGTCTTGACCAGCAACCACTGTCCTCGCTGTTTTCCGTGGACACCTGGGGACAAGCTGAGGGCACTGTGCAGACACCTCACAGGAGTGCTGGGGTGACCGACAGCCACACGAGAGCACGGCTCCTCCTGAGCAAGGAGCTGGGCTAGCAGCAACTCTGGAGATGCCCCAGGAGAAACCAGTCCCCGAAGGTGCTGAGCCAGCCCCGCGCCCACCTCTTAGCTGTCCTCATCCTCCAGGAGCTGGACCCCAGTGTGACACCTTCCTCCCTCCCGCCCCACCCCCAACCCCCATGATACTAGAGAGTGAACCCAGGGCCTTTGGACTAAGCTACACCCACAAACCTTTTTATTATTCTTGTAAATTTTGACAAACTGTCTTCCTAAATCACTAAGCTGCCTAGGCTGGGGCTGAACTCGAGATCCTCCTGCCTCAGCCTCCCAGAGTGCTGGGATTACAGTTGTGCACCACCACACCCAGCTCAAGGGTGACATCGTAGAGCAGGGGCCTCACATCTGCAATTGAGAAGTGCGCCCACCGAACCTACATCCCAGAAATGCAGGCTGAAGTGCACACTCTCTCACTGTTTCTTAGCTGGTGCCTCGGTTTCTCTTCAGGGTCTACTTTATGTTTAAAATTCATCTTAACTTTAACAGGAAGACAGCTTCCTTACCGCCTTCGTACATGTCAAAAGATCGTGTGGCCGTGACCTTCCCAGTTACATCTGAAAGTAAAAGAAACAGCATTTTAAAGGGAGCTCCTGGAAGGGCGTGTGGTGGTGGCCCGGGCCCTCAGGGCTCATTTCTTCCCTCTCCCTGAGGGGAAACTCCCCAGATGAGACAGCTGGGGCGGAGCAGGCCGCTTCCTGAGCAGGGACCAGCTGGGGCAGAGGGGCAGGGACAGTGCCGGGCAGCTGCTGCGAGCTGTCTGCACCTGACAGTTGCTCTTTTCACTTTTTTACGTCTACTTTTATTAGCGCACGCTTGCAGGACATGATGGTCCATTCCTCGAGGGGAGCCGGCACACAAGTGACACGCCTCAATGCTTTGTCCCCCCCTCCTCCCCCCTCCATCTCCTGGTCCCTTATGTCTGCAGCTCCCTCCGTCTCCTGTTACCCGTCTTTTACTGTGCTCTGGGATCTATTCATACACTGGGTTGCTCACGTGAGAGAAACCATGTGACATCTAAGCTGGAGTGTCTGATAAATGTCCCTCGACACTGTGGTCTCAAGGTGCATCTGTTCTACAAAGGACTCAAGTGTATCCTTCTTTACGGCACAGTAGTGCTCCTTGGTGTGCAAACGCCACGTGTCCTTTGTCCCTTCATCTGCTGACGGGCGCAGAGGCTGCTTTCAAGCTTGAGCCATTGTGAGCTGTGCTGCTGTCAGCCTGGGTTCCAGGCACGGGGCCCCGTGATGCGAGCGAGGTCTCAGCGCTCTCTCCTCCCCTCCGCCTGTCCCGGGAAGCACAAGCGCGCCTCGCTCCTTCCCACCTTGAACATCAGGGTCTCCATGGCCACTCGCCTGGCAGCATTCTGTGTCACTGGCCACAGCCCTGCCGTCACCAGCCCAGGCTTCCAGCCCTGCCCTGGACCCTGTGGGGAACTCTCCCCGGGCAGACGGTGTCGCTCGGCTGACACGTCCGGGGGTGGAGGTGCGCAGCAGCGCAGGACCCTGCTCTGGGTTTGCGCTGAGCCTCTGCCTGGGTGTGCTCGGTCTCACCTTCGTCTTCTTTACATTGTTTTTGGTTAATTTTTTGTTGTCCCTGGAACCACTAACAGTCCGAAGAGCAAGGCTTGTCAAAGTAAATACACAGCTTTAAAGTGCATTAAAATAGAGCCCTAGACGGGACCAAGTCCGAGCGGCCTGGACACCCCAGACTTCTGCGCGAAGCCCCTCGGGACCCCCAGGGAAGCGGGAGAAGCGCCGACTTACAGCTGACGACGGCGATGTTTATCCCTCGCTGGATGTTCCCCATCTTCTCGCCCATGAGCCTGAAACGGGAGCGCGCGTCAGCCCAGCCACCGCTCTCGCCCGGCCGCAGCCTGCAGGGCCGCCCTGCACACGGCCGGTCTGGCCACTGTCGCAGATGCAGCCAGGGCTGGGTGCACCCCAGGGAGGCGGCCACCCTCGCTGCCCACACACCAGCCCATCTCTGCAGACTCCGACCCCAGGGAGGGCTGCGCTGATGTCACATCACAAGCCAAAGGCTCGGGGGTTGGGGGGGGCTGTCTCGTTCTTCACACTCGCCCGGCCGTGAGCACCCGCATCTCCACACGGGAGGCTGGACGGCTGGGTCAGGAGACGTGGCTGCAGCCCAAGTGTGGTTTTCCAACAGCCCCACCTCCTCCCCCGAGTGTGACAGAGCCTGGTGTCACCCCTGGAGCACCTTCCGTCCCCTACCCGGTTTGATCCAGTTTACCTCCTTACATCGCACCACTTACTTTTACCTTTTTAAATAGATTCAAGAAACATCAATTTTAAGATTTTACCCCTAAACCAGAAAGACTGCATGCTTTCATGGAAACAGTAATCATATGGACGGTTCTGGGAACTACAAGTGGGGGCACGTGTGAGTGTGCACACGGGTGTGGGGGCACATGTGAGTGTGCAAATGGGTGTGGGGGTGGGAGTGAGTGCACACACAGGAGTGGGGGCACGAGTGTGAATGTACTCTCTGCCCGGTTCTAGTATCAGGGATAGGACGGCATCCGGGGGAAATCTCTTCTCCGCGCCTGGGAGAGTGGGTGCAGGACTTCAGAGTCTCCCTCGGGCAGGTGCACCGGACGGCCCCTCCGCTGTCCTGCTACAGAGGCTTAGTGCTTTTGACCACTGTGTTTATGCAGAGTTCAGACGGACAAAATCAAGCAACAGTGTTTTTCGCAATGCTTGAATCAGCAGTAAAACCGCCAAGAAAAGCAATGATCGCCGTGGGAGAATCAAGGGCTCTCGCGAGCAGGCAGTAAGGGAAGAAGCGATGCCCTCGGGAAGGGCACACAGGGGGTATGGGGTACTGGTGATGACCTTCAGGTTTACACTAGAATGCTCCCCAAAGTCTCGTGTGTTCAGAGGTGGGGCTTTGGGAAGGCGACTGGATCACGGGGTGCTGTGCGCATCTGAGGATTCCTCTCCCCAGGTCATGGCTGGACACACTGTTAGAGGACAGGGCTGGCTGCAGGTGGGTCGCTGGGGCATGACCTGGAGGCGTGCATGGTCATTCCCAGCTCCTCCCTCCTTCCCTTCGTTGCTTCCTGCCTGCGACACAGTGAGCCGCTCTCCTCCACCACACCCTCCTGCTGTGCTATTCCTGCTTTGGAGCTAACCAACCATGGACTGCACCCTCTGAACACTGAACAAGATAAAGCTCTCCTCCTTTAAGTTGTGGGTTATCAGCCGTGGGACTCGGGTACAGACAGTGTCTCAGGGACGGACAGTGGTCACACAAGTGTCCACTTTAGCACAACTAATTGCATTATAAGACAGCATATTCACAAGGTTGCTCACTGCAGCATTATTGGTAATGTAAAAAATTGCATTCATTAGAAATGCCCACTGGTGATAAACTATGATTGCAACCATGCTACAGAATACAATGCACCAGAAAAAAGAAATGGAGAAAAATCTGTATGAACTGTTGTGGAGTCATCTCTATTATACTGTTAGGTGAAGAGAATGAAGTGCAAAGTGTGTAGTGCTTGCAACCTAGTGTGTAAGGAGTCTGTGTGTATAGACACATACACCACCTATACGCCTATATTCATATATGTATACACTCGTGTATGCATGCACATATGCATAAATGACACACAAACACACACATGTATTAATTATGTAGAAAGAGCTTTTTTTGCCATGAAGCACTGAAATGGTAAACAAGAAATTAATACCAAAAACATGGAGATGAAAACAAGAGAACTGGAGCATTTGGGGGGGATTTCTCCGAGTATGCTTTTAGGCAACATAACACTCATTTCTGAATCACGTAACTGAAGGAAATGAGTTGAAAAGTAAAATCTAAGCATGGGGAGGCCCTTCAATGTTAAATGAGGGTGGAAACAGTAATATAAGAAGTAGAAATTCCTTTTGGGGGAAGAAATGCCCTTTGCAGCCTGCCACTGAAGGGCTTCGCTGCAGTGCTGCCCCGTGGCCCCGACACCCCGAGGGCCCAGGTCTTGGTCTTGAATGCCGCACTAGATGAGCCGTCTCTCCCGAAAAATGGCTGGCTGCAGGTCTGCAGCAGCAGGACTAGGTGAGCCGAGCTCTCTAGAAAGCAGTGCAGTGCGGGCTCTCAAGGCCAGGCAATGCAAGGAACTATGCTGACCACATTAACCGAGTTTGCAGTTGAAACTCTCCTCACACGGAAAATCCCAGGCTCGGGCGGCTGCCCTGGGAAACTGTGTCGCAGGGAGGGCACATCCCCGGCTCGCTCCGTCTGGGACGCGGTTAACAGAGCTGTGACACAGGAGGGTAAGGTCCCAAGCACAACCGGGAAAGCCTGCCAGCCGGGCTTCATCCGTGACTTGGGAGGGCCTTGCCCCATATTCGAAGCATAAACCAAATGTAACCAAGACAGAGAGACAGCGCAGCCAGCCGTGCGGGGCCACGAGCGCCCTGGCCCAGGGACACAGCGTGGCATTCCCACCTCCACTCGGCCTCAGCGTGGTCAGGAACGTGCGGCTCTCCTCTGGGCCGGCTCCGAGGAGGAGCCAGAACCCCCCAGCACCATGCTGATACTCACAGCTCGTCCTCAAAGCAGATCTTGGCGTGCTTGTCTCTGCCCCCGCCGCTCAGTAGCCGGTAGGCGTAGGTGTTGGGAGGACATGGGGTCCAGTGGTCGCATTTCTGCCTTCTGGGGGGTGGGGCTGCAAAGAGCAAGAGTTCAGCAGTTAACATCACTATTACTTGTCAGAGGACCCTGCTGGGGAGCACCCCAGCCCAGAGCTCATCCAGCAAGTCCCACTGGAGGTGGGGGCACCAAGGGGCCGTTTCCTGGCTCAGTGGGTCCCGGGGTTCCCTGAGGCACAGCCCACGTCGTCCACCTTGTCCCCGCAGGGAGGGGGCGAGCAGGCATGGCAATCTCAAAAGCACTGGGGATCCCCGCCCACAGACGCTCATCCTATGGGGCATTCCCAGGTACGAGGCACGTCTGCGTTACAGTATCAAGGTTCCGAGGAATCGGAGTGCTGGCGGCACAGTGCCTGTGCAGAAATGTGTGCAGCTTCCATCTTTGCACAGACAAATAGCATGTAGCACTGCACACACACTACACCACATGCACACACACAGGCTGTACCACACACACAAGACAGCACACAACATGTTGCACCTAACACACATACACCCACCATGCCACGTACCACACACACCACATAAACACACACACATATCAGATCACCACGCTCTCACTGCAGCATAAGAGCTCAGCCATTTTGCCCATGGTGCAGGGGTATCCACGGAGACAGGCCTGCCGATGTCTTCCCAGGGGTCAGCAAGGTGGGAGGGTTGACTCCCGAAGATGGGATGTGAGGGGTAGCCGGCCCTGGCACCCTTCATCCCTAGACCCACCCTGTGCCCCTCACGCTCAGTTACATGCTCAGCCCCTATGAAGCCCCAGAGGAAGATTCCAGAAACATCCTCACCCTGCAGGCCAGACTGGGACTTGGCTGTCTGCACTGCAGGTGACCTTGCTTTTCTGACCTAGTACACAGGAGCCAGGAAACACAGGCAGTGCCGTGCTGTGGGGTATACGAAATGTCAAGATGAAGCAATCAAAAGATGCTGCTACAGAAAATCATCCAGTCACAAAGGAAGAGCTCAAGAAGGGCACAAGACGTCTGCGAGAGCCCTGGAAGATGATTAACAGGATGACAGCAGAAGAGGCGGAGTCCTTCCCTAGAAAGTCACCCAAACAAAAATAGACCAGATGCTCCAATTGAAAGATAAAGAACTTGGCGAGGCTGAAGTAGGAAAACGGACAAAAAAATCAACACCCGACTATATGGCTGTTGTCAGCAAGAGACTCACGTCACCTGTAAGGACACACACAGACTGGAAGTGAAGGGGTGGGAAAAAAATACTGCAGGCAAATGGAAGCTGACAGGAGTAGCCACATTTAGCAAAAGCAGACTTTAAGCCAAACTACAAAAAAAAAGGATCATTAAATAATAATAGAGGGGTGGGCTCATCCAAAAGATGTAATAACTAAATATATATGTCTACCCCCGATCTGAGCACCTAGGTGAACACCCAGAGGCCTCTGGGGACAGACAGCCCGCCGGCCGTCACAGCGTGTGGCCTCCAAACTCCACGCCCAGCAAGGTGCGAGCCATCCAGACAGGAAAAAGCACAGAAACGTGGGACACTGTCTTGGACCCTTAAGCACGCTAAAACAAAAAGGCAAGACTAGGAAATCTGTAGACAACACAAGTTGATTTCCTTATAGTCCTAAAGGTTGGGGGCCCAAGTTCCGAGGAACAGCAGATCAGGGGTTGACTGGGCACCCATTCATGCTGCATCCTTGCCCTCTTCAGGTGGCAGAAAGGGCCCAAACCCCCCGTCCATCTCTGTACAAAGGCCCTGGCCCCATCCCTGAGAGAAGAACCCTTGTAACACCATCATTTCCCCAAAGGCCTCCCTCTGGGCCCCATCAGCAATTAAATTACAACAGGGTGAGTCCCGGGGGACAGAAACCTTAGGACCACGGCAGCTCTGAACTATTCCTTAGGCCCAATGGGCCTTGAAGACAGACGCAGAGCCGTACGTGGAATAGCACAAGGCCACACTCTCCTCATACACGTTCTCCAGCCCACAGCCCAAAGGAAGCCACAAAACGGGCCTAATAAACTGAAGAGTAAGATCACATCAGGTGCCTTCCCACCACACTGGCAGGAAACTGGAGATCAAAAGAGAAGTAACTGGCCGGGCATGGTGGCACACACCTGTAATGTCAGCACTTGGGAGGCTGAGGCAGGAAGATCGCTGTGAGTTCAAACCCAGCCTGGGCTACAAAGTGAGTTCAAGGCCAGGCTGAACTACATAAACTGTCTCAAAAATACAAATGATAATAATAATAATAATAGGAATAATTTCAGGAAATTCACAAATATGTAGACACTAAACAACACTCTCTGGAACAACCAATGCATCAAAACAAGCTAAAAAAGAAATTAAAACATATCTGGCGACAAATGAAAACAGGAACACACCGATGGGATGCAGTAAAAGCAGCTCCAGGAAGGAAGTGCAGAGTAATAAACGCCTACATTCAACAGGGAAAAGATCTTAAACAACCAAAGACTATACCACAAGGAACTAGAAAAAGTAGGACAACCCAAGCTTACAAGGAGGAGGAGGAAGGAAATAACAAAGGTCACAGAAGAGATGGAGACCAGAAAGATAACAGAATTGATGAAAGAGTTAATTTAAAAAAATAAAGATGGACAAAACTGAGACACCCTTAGCTAAATTCAGACAAAAATGAGACTCAAATGAAACCAGAAAGGAAAGAGGACACATCACCGCTGATACCACAGAGGTACAAAGGACCATAATTTGAACAAGTTAAGTCAACAAGCTGGAAAACCTAGAACAACTCTGTCAATTCCTAGGAATAAACAACCTCTCGAGACTGAAGCATGCAGAAATAGAACGTCCCAACAGACCAAAGTCAAGTCGTGACGCCCAGCCAGCTACGAAAGCCTCCTGGTCTGCCAAACAAAGGTCCAGGGCTGAAGACGTCACAGCTCAGTTCCACCGAACATTCCAAGAAATGATCTTGATCTTCTTCAAACTCTCCCAAATGGAATAAAAAACAGAGACACATGCAAGCTCGCCATGTAAGACCAGCATCACCCTGACACCAAATCTACACAAGGGCACTGAGAGGGAATGCGTGATGGGCCAGTGTCTCTGAGGAACACAGCTGCCGAAGCTGCAGGTAAGGTATTAACAGTTGAAACGCAGCAGCACAGAGAATCACGCATTCCGCACAACTCACACAAGGATGATTTCACGTCTGAAAGCCAGTGTCGTCTGCCACATTAAGAACGAAGGACAAAACGCGCTGGTGACATCAGTAGGTTTAGAAAAAAACCTTGTGACAAAATTCCACACCCTCACATCATTAAAAGAATTAAACTTTTCAACAGATTAGGGTAAGCAGGAATGTCCCTCAACACAACACAAAGAGGTATTCATAGTAAGAACTGCCACATCAAGAAAAAAAAAAAGATCAAGTAGAAAACCTGGTATAGAAAAAAAGAGCAAGCTGGGCTTAAAGGGAGGGCGGCGGCAGCATCACCCTCAGCGGTGAGCAGCGGAGGACGCGTCCTCTAAGATCAGAACAAGATACGGACGCCACTCTCTCCCCTTCTGTTCAGGGCAGTACTGGAAGCCCTGGGCACAGTGACGCGGCAAGAAAAAGAAATAAAAGGCACCTAACTCGGAAAGGGAGAGATTAAATTGTCTCGTCTGCTAAGGACGTGACTTAGAAACCCCTAGGCTCCGTGAAAAACAGAGCTGCTGAACTAATTTGACAGAGTTGCAGGATACAAAGTCCATACACAGAAATCAGTAGCGTTTCTGCACACTAACAACAAACTAGCCAAAACAACCCCATTGACAGTAACTACACAACATCATGGGAGTAAATTTAGCCAAGGAGGTGAAAAAACTGCATACTGAAAGCTGTAATGTACTGATGGAAGAAACTGACAGCGACACACAGAAATGGAAAAATATCCTGAATTAGGAGAATCAGTGTTGTTACAATGTCCATAGTACACAAAGGGATCCACAGAGTCAGTGCAACCCCTACCAAAATTTCAATAGTGTTCTCCACAGAAACAGAAAAACAATTTAAAAAGTGTTTGGAATCCCAAGAGACCCTGAACAGCCAAAGCAGTCTTGAGGCATCCCACTACCTGATTTCAAGCTATATTCTGAAACTCTAGCAATCAAAACAGCATGGCACTACCCTAAGAACAGACACATCGACCCATGGAACAGGACAGATCCAGAAATAAGCCCACATACATTTACTGTAATTTGATTTTTGACCAAGTTCCCAAAAAACTCATCATCGAAAGCACAGTCTCTTCAATAAAGGATACTGAAAGAGCTGGACATTCACATATAGAAAAATAAAATTAGATTCTCATTTCATATCACACACAAAAATCAGCTCAAAATGGATCATAAACATGAAGAACTGGAATGGTGGAAGGACTACAGAAGACACAGGTGGAAGCTCCATGATATTAGTTCAGGCAATGTTTTTTTTATATAACCCCAAAAATACAGGCCACACAAGCAGAAAAGGCAAATGGAATTATATCAAATGAAAAGGCTTCTGGACGGCCAAGGAAACGATCCAAGAGTGAAGAGACAGCCAACAGAAGAGGAGAAAGTATCCTCCAACAAGAGCTAATGCTCCAATCGTACAGGTGCTCAGCAGCTAATAACAGGTACACTTAAGATCTGATTTGAAAATGGGCAAGGCGCCTAAGTAGACATTTTTCCAACAAAGTCATACACGTGGCCAGGGAATATACACAAAAGGTGCTCAGCATTACAGATCACCAGAAAACGCAAATTAAAAAACCACAATGATTCTTCACCTTGCACCTATTAGAATTCCGGCTATTTTCAGAAAAATTCAAGACGAGCTGTGGTCAGCAGGGGGAGAGGAGGAACTTGTGCGCCTTGCTTTGGGAAATGTAAAGTGTGACAACCATCAAGTGAGACAGCACACAGGTCCTCATTTACACAAGAATGATCAGGCAGCCCAGATTCCCACTGCCCTGAGACTCTGGTTATTTCCAAAGGAAATGAAATCAGTGCACTGAGGAGACACCCACATTCCTGATTCCTTTGCAGGATTATTCACAGCAGCCAAGACACAAAACCAGCCCACATATGCATCAATGAATGAATGAATGAGCACTTGGTGTATGTGTACAATGGAATACTACTCAGCCTTTAAAAAGAAGGGAATTCTGTCATTTTTTTTTAAGCATCAAGGACATTCTGCTAGGTGAAATGAGCCAGGCTTGGGAGATAAAAATCTCGCTCAGGTGGAATCCAAAAAATTGAAGTTGAAAAAAAAAAGTGAAACTGAAGAAGCAGAAGGTAGACTTGTGGTCACCAGAGGCTGGGCGGGGTGCAGGGCTGTGGATGTGGGTCCAAGGACTGGGAATTTTAGTTAGGAGATCAGAGCTTATTTAAGAGATCCATTGTGCACCAACGCATCATACACTCGAAAATCGTCAGGGGAGGAGACTCCACCAGTTCTCACCACTTAACCGTGACTGCGAGTCGGTGCATATTAATTGTGTTCGTTTAACCGTTCCACAACACCTGCACAGGTCAGACCACGTTCAAAGACACAGACATGGACGATTTTTATTTTTGAATTTAAAAATCAATCCACTGATTGATTCAGTGACTGGCTGATCAAAGGGGCACAGTGAGCGAGGAAGCCAGCAGCGGCCCCGTAAGACCGAGCTGTTGGGGGCTAGGGTACAGAGGACACTGACGTTCCCACACTGGGCATGGCCAGGGGGTCTCAGTGAGTCATAACTAGGTAGGTCCCCAGGAGAAGGCGAGGATCCTCGGTGTTTACGGTGCCCATGCACGCCCAGTCCACCACACTGCCAGCCCGGCCCTGCCTTGCTGGGCTGTGTTTTATCAGCGTGCACCCCTCCCCACTAACCCACCTTCTTTTCTCTTTTAAACAATTCTCCACGAGTGAACTCAGGGAGTTTGTTTACTATCCCCACGTCCCAGCACCCAAACCGCTGAGCCCACACTGGAGTCTGTCCATGTTTGCTGAACCGATGAGTGAATGAACGTCTGGACCCCCAGGTTGCAGAATCTGCAGGTACAGGTGGCTTTAGCTGCGCTGTTCTGGCTGCCTCAGTGTCCTGAGTGGATTTAAAACATTTCCCTGTCATGGTCATTTTGACTTTGGGGAGGAGCCAGAAGTCACATGGTGCCAGATCCGGTAAATAATGCGGATGAGGATAGCATCATAAAATGAATAGCTTCCATAAAAGTTTTTAAAACATTTTATAGGTGTTAAAGTTTGTACAAATTAATTTTTGATACTTGCTGTGTTAAAAACATAGAGGCATCAACTTGCAACGAGTTTTTAGAAAGGGTACCGCTGACTTACTTCCCTGACGTTCCGCAGGGTTCCAGTATAATTTTGTAATTGCATTTGTTCCCCATTCCAGCTGAATTCCAAATATTCTCCCTGTATGCATCCGGCTCAAGTTTCTCTGGTTCGTTTCCTACCTGATTGTTCGGCTCTGGCCCAGACCCTCTGAGGGTTCCAGAGGTAAAGGGTGGACCTTGGCCACGCAGGCAGGGTCAGGGGATGGTGCAACACCTGATGCATTAATAAATAAATGGGCTTTGGCGATGGGCATTTCCTTTTGCAATGACATGGTCTTTCTAGGACTGAGTATGACAAAATAAATTTTATATTAGAAAAAAAAGAACACAGTGACCCTCAGAAAGGCACCACATGGGAACCAGGAAGTGGGTTGTCATAGGGGCCACCTCCACTGGCACCTTGATCTCAGCTGCTTGGACCATGGGATGGGCATTTCTGTGGTTGACCAGCTGCCCAGGCTGTGGCACTGTCACGGCAGCTGAGGAGATGGGGACACTGCACTGGGAAAGAGGCCAGAGAGCATCACCCGCTGGGACCCCGCCTGCCACCCTCTGAGTCCTACAGAACTTGACAGCCCGGCTCCCTCTTCTTTCTCCTTGTCTGTTCCCCCGTGGCAGGCACAAGAGAAGCTGGGTTTCTGGGCTAATGCGCTAGGCGACAGACAGTTCCACCTGTCCTGGGTGCGGGCTGAGACACCCTTCTGGTACTGATTGGAAACTCCTTCTAGGTGCCTGATATTTCTCTCAAGTCCTTTCCAAAACTCACTGCTGCTTTGCTGGTTTTCAAGATGGTCATTCCTTTAGATTTTACTTTTTTTGAGACCTGGTCCCGCTATGTAGCCCAGGCTGGTCCTGAACATGCAGCAATCCTCCTGCCTCAGCCTCCTAGGTACTAGGACTACAGCTGTGTGCCACTGCACCTGGCTCATTCCTTTAGAAAACTGAACATGCCTCCAGAATTGGGGACCTGAACCTCTCCTAGGTTTTGACCTGGGGCCTCAAGAGATCATGTGAAGGTCAGGCTGCAGGTCTGGGGTCACTCCTGGCAGTCCCATGCTCACCTTTGAGGACAGGCTTCTCCCCGATGCTCCGTATGCTGTAGATGGCATTGGTCAGATGCACGTCGGGAATAAGCTCCACCACCAGATACCCAGAGTACCAGGCGCAGAGGGCGGCAAAGACCAGGAACAAGGCCTTGAAGGCGCCTAGGGACAGGACAGAGGCAGCAGACGTCAGCAGAGCCAACATATGCATGCATTAAAAGACGTAGAACAGGAGTATTTCATACACAGGCGGGCATCCTAAGAGGTGGGGTTCCTACATATGCAGCAGAGCTTCCTGGAGTGTGAGAGACCCCAGGCCGAAGTGCAAGTGACCCTTCCATGTTGGCGCAGGACGGAACCGGGACCAGTGTCCTGGGGCTGCAGCAGGCACGCCAATCCCTGTGTAAAGGATGTGTGAGACCAAGGCCAGGTGCCAGGTGAGCCAAGGCACACGGGGCAGGGAGGGGAAACCAGCTTTGTGCAGTGGGGGGGGGGGCGGGGCAAGGGGTTCTCCTCTCCCCGCTGCCTCTTCGAATAGCCTGTAGGGTCAGGTACTTGGAGGGACGGGAAAGGTACGTTCAGCCGACGCACTGCCCTCTTCATTGTCACGGGTCCCCAGGCTGCTGGTGTGGCTTGGACTCTTATTCCAGCCACAGATGTCCCACCAGGGTCCCACAGTGTCCCCCAGGCCAGGCGCCAGCCTGCACTGGTCCTCTGCCCAGGACATCTGCTGGGAAGGAGCCGGCCTGGGGCCCCTGGCCGACTAACCCAAGCCTGCACTCCAGGCGAACTGTCACACCCACCCTGCCACGCAGGGAGAGCTGCCCAGCCCCTTTCCAGCTCGGAGCCCCTGGGGAACTCCAGTCCCAGGGGAACAGGAAGTGGCCCTGCTGACCTCCCCCATTGGACTCCTTGTGGTAGGTTCCAGCCAGACCCTGCTCCCCCTCTGCACAGCGCGGGTAGGGGGGGGATAATCACACTCACCTGCAGCCCCGGGGCGCATCTTCCTGGCGCTGCTCCCCACCACCCCCGCCAGCACCTGTGAGAGCCTCAGCCTCACTGAGGCTTAGGGAGGAGACTCGGGAGGGGCCCCGCCCTCACCCTCCTCCTCCATCCTCAGGCAAGGGGCGGGCTGGGTACAGGTAAATGTCAGGTGCGGATCTGTCAGGCTGCAAGGGCAGCGGGCCAGGTAGGTGCGGGCAGGGCGGTGTCCAGGGCTGCACCTTGGAGCTCAGGTCATAGGCTACACAGGACTTTTTCCCTGGGGCTGACCGAGTGCTGGGCTGGAGATGCCCCGAGAAGCCCTGCTGAAAAAAAGCCACCGAGATGCCGTGATGCCAGGAGCGCCCAGATTGCCAACCAACGTCTCCCAACAGGAAAGGCTGCCAAAGGAAGCATGGCGGAGCGCTTTAACCTCCAAACTCCATCCCAGAGTGCCTGTCCAGGACGGCACGGTGCCCATGCGCTGTTGGCACAGCCAGCAATGAACCCGAGCCTGCTCCATCCTCTGCTGACTGAAGGAGAGACGCCTTCATGGGGAGGGACAGCTCCCACAGGCCCCAGGGCACAGACTCCAGGGTGTGAAGGCGTCATCACCCCAGACGACATCCGACATCCGGACCCCACGCAGAACAGCCTGCGTTTGCCCTCCGGGAGCACTTTCAGTGCAAACACGCATTGGGTTTCCCGCACTCTGACCTGGCGCAGTCACGGCGGCTTACACCACAGTAGGACATCCAGGCTCCAGGCAAGTCAGGGCTCCAAGAGAAACCTGTCTCTTCTGCAGAAAGAGGTCCCAGAAGCAAGCTCTGCAGCTGGCCCCTCCAGTTCTCCTCTTGCAAGAATCCCAGGGCTTCAGCCACAGGACACCCGGCACCCTGGGCTTGCTGGGGACATCCTTCTAGGCTGGCCATGATCCCCCCTCCACAGCCGTGCGGCTCCTGAGAAGCCCCCGTAGAGTGTTGTGTGTCCTGTGGGCAACACGGCTGCCATCTTCCAGTGCACACCGCCCACATCCTCCGAAACCTGAGAGGCTGGAAGGCGGGGACGGTCTTGGTGGGGACTCAGAACTGTATGGCACCGGGCCTGGTGTAGCCTGCCTCAGTGTCCCTACTGCCGAGCCACCCACCAGCCCCCGAGAGCCACTCTCCAGCTGTGCCCAACTGTGAGTAAGATCAGGGGACTGAGTCTTGATTTCCTCTACCAAGAATTTTACCTTTGTCATTAGCTCGCCTGATTTCAGAAGTGGGGCTTTCGTCTCTGTTTTTTTTTTTTTTTTTGGTTTTTTTTTTTTTTTCATTTTTTTAAACAGTTTTGGTTGAAAAAAAAGTTAAATTAAAAAAAAGCATAATACCAAGTGTCCCTCCTCATCCAGGGCAGAGTTCGGGAAAGTACGTTCCCTGTTGACCTCCAGGATGGTTTCATCTCGTAAACTAAGGCTGTGTGCCTGTTAAACATTACCTCGCCACCTGTCCTTCTGCCCAGCACCTGGCAACCACCACGCTGCTTTCTGTCTATACTGCAGTTTCTCCGGGTCTTCCCATAAGCACAGTCCTAGGGTCTCTGCCTTCCGCGTGCTGGTTTATTTCACACAGCTCAGCGTCCTCAGGGTTACAGTACGCGTTTGTCTCCTTTGAAGTCTGATGAAGTTTCATTGTATGCACACGCCACATCCATCTGTCCATCCGTCCATCCGTCCATCCGTCCATCCATGGACATGCGGGCCGCTTCTGCTCCTTGGCTACTGCAGATAACGCTGCCCGGAGAAACGTGTGTAAGTATCCTGGGGAGACCTTGCTTTCAGTGCTCTGGGACATGAAGTCAGAGATGGGGCTGCTGGGTCATGGGGCAGCTGCAGCTTTAGCTGTCCCAAGAGCTGCCGTTCCGTGATCCACAGGAACCACAGCACCTCACGGTCCCGCCGGCCAGGCTAAGGCGCCGCTGCCCCACAGCCTGCCCGCACGGGCTCGCGCCGGGGGCGTTCGCAGCAGCCGTCCTGGCGGGTGTGAGGGGATGGCTGTCCGTGGTTTTGATTTGCACGCCCACCGAAGAACGCCGCTGACCATCCTTTCCTGTTCTTCTCGGCCAACTGCATGGCGTCCGCGGAGGAGCATCTAGTCAAGTCCTTGGCCTCCTTCAAACCGAGTTTATTCTTCATTGAGTTGTGCACATTCTTCATGCATGCTGGACATCCTCCTTCTCCATTCGACCGTGCCCCTTTCGGTATACACTATCCCCTCCCCTGGGAGTTAGGTCCCTGGCACGTGAATGTGGCGACCAGGGCCCGATTCAGTCCACAGCGGCTGTGCCGTAGACAGCAAACCACTCACACGTCTGACCTCAGCACCCTCATCCTGTCATGGCCTGAGCCAGACACAACCCCAAAGAAAAACAGGCATAATTACACTCAGCTACAAGAAAAGACTGCCATGAAGCATACGTGAATGTGGGGTAGGCTCAGAACAAATTCCTAAAGTGGATTACTGAATATAGGGTGTGGAAATTCTGCATTGGAACAGACGTTGGCCAGAGTCCTCCAACAACGTGAAACCACTTTCCAGCCCCACTCACAGCCTGAGAACTGCCTGTTTCCTCGGGCTTCCAGAAGCTGGACTTGGAAATCTTTCTTCAAACTGTGCAGCAGGAAGATGTTGTGAGGGCCTCAGAATGGTGACACGAAATCTTGAATGTCCTAAAGTCCCTCAGACAGAGACCAAGGATTCCAATAGGACCCCTGTGGTCCCATGTTTATTCTCTCCTGGAGGGTCACCTTGCTTGAACCACAGGACAGCTCCAGGGTCCACTAATGGCGACCTTGGCAGTCACAACGCTCAAGTTCTCCTGTCTGCTTGCATCCGGGAGACGCAAGCCCGCCACCTCACCGGCCACCTCAAAACACCCAACCACATAAAAGGCTATTACCTTTTGAACAAGAGTTAGCTTTAGCTTTTTAGGTAATTGCGCTGCAATGTCTAGGAGTTCCTGGATATTACCTTTCCTTCCTGTCCCTCTGTAGGTGGCCAACTCTGTTTGCTTGTGGTTAACCTTCACTGTGTCAACTTGACTGAGTTAAGAAAGGCCCAGGACACTAGCAAAGCATATTTCTGGGTGTGTCTGGGTGGTCGTGGAAGTGTGACTTTGAGTCCCTCTGGCCCCTCACCCCTTCCTCCCTGGTGCTGTTCCCCTGCTCTGTTTCCCCACCCCCACACAGTGAGCTCAGCAGCTTTGCTCTGCACCACACTCTTCCACCGTTAAGATCCGGTCTTGGAGACAGTGACCATGGACTGAGCCCCCCGAGACTGTCAGCCACATCCAACCTCTCCTACTTCAAGTTGTGGGTGTTTCCCACCACTGCCTTCCAGTGGTGGGAAAGCTGCCCAATATGCACTGTCTCTCAGCATCACCTGCTCTTTCTTCTGTTCCTATCTCACCTGTTTCTCTGCGTTGCACTGTTTAGCTCCTCCTGACTCTACCTTCCAATCTGTTCACACTTACATGTTCAGCTGTGTGTCATCTGCTGTCACCAAATCTATTCAAAGTACTGTCCTTATTCCACAAATTCTATTTAGAAAGTGCTCAAAACTGCTTTGGAGCCAGGCATGGTGGCGCACACCTGTAATCCCAGCACTCGGGAGACTGAGGCAGGAGGATCATTGCAAGTTCAAGGCCAGCCTGGGCTACAAAGTGAGCTCAAGGCCAGCCTCAACTACATGTGACCCTGTCTCAAAACAGAACAAAACAGACCACTACTACTTTGTAGTTTCCTGGTTCCCGCAGGTACCCCTTGGCTGACTCATAATCCCTTGCCCATAATCCCCAGCGAGCTAAGAGCCTGTATCTTATTGTTCCACTGCATCAGAAGACTCTGAAACTTTCTTTGGCTCCAGCCCGAGTTTCCTGGTTGGCTGGCTGTGTGCCCAACATTATGTTTAAAGCAAAGAGTAACTTCTCCAGAAATAATTTGTGTTTGCTTTTACCACCAGGCTGGGTCACTGTCATTCTAGGGTAGTCCCTGGGTGGCCCAGTCACTGAATATGGGCCATCATTGAACTCACCCTGTGTGGTCAGATCATGCTTTGGGGGCAGTACCAAAGAAAAAAAGGACCAGGGTTGTTTGAGAAGCATTTCCACCACAGATCTGCGGGAGGCCAGACCCTCTCCATACCTGCAACTAACACAACACCCAGGGCAGCTGGGGAGAGGAAGCTAGAGCCCAGGTCTCCCCTGGGGACATGAAGATGAGGGAGAAATGCATATTGCAGCCATCCTTCTCTCTAGGAATTTCTTCCGGGAAAGGAAGTTATTTTCCATCACCATACTAATACTAAAATGTCATAGCTATGTGACTGTTATTTTTAAAAGAATTAATAGATATTTTCAGATTTTCTCACGTCTAACAAGCAATAGAGAGAACAAAACAACAACATCCACAGTACCCTTAGTCAGGGTAAGGGTAAAAATGGGGGCCTGAGGTCAAACAAGTTTGAGCACCACTGCTGCATCCAAAATCTGGACGCTGAGGGGACCAGCGGAGGATCCGGCATGGGGAAGACTGGGTTTTGGTCACGGTTCCGCCCACACTGTGGATCTGGGTGGTATTTATGTTACTGCTGGTTGCTGCTGTGGTAGAGACAGTGGTGGCACTGGGGGTTGAATTGAGTGTCTCTGCACTGAGCTACATCCCCAGCCCTTGTGAAATGTTTTGAGACAGGACCTCTCTAAATCACTTAAGTCGCCCGGCCTGGACTGCAACTTGTGACCCTCCTGCCTCAGCCTCCCACAGTGCTGAGGTCACGGGCACATGCTATGGTGCCTAGTTTGAGGCAATGTATTTAATACTCTTGAATTTCATCTTTTTAATCTAGGAACTGGGAGTTCTCTTTCTTGGAGGATTAGAAGGGTGGTGCACAGAACACATTTGGGCAGACGACCTCCAATGCAGGAGCACTTCCTGTCAGACTCCCGTAAACAGCGTCTCACCCACAGAGCCTCCAGGCAGCCCGAGCCTCAGCTAATTGGAGGTGATGTCATTCAGAGCCTTGTACGGCTGTGCAACTTCCAGGTCAGCAGAAAGCACTTCACACGCTGGG